CAAAGAACCAAAACCCTTTTAAAACCAATTGGAAACATTTTGAAAATTTTTCTTTTTGGGGGATGTTCAAAAATTAAAAAGGCCCTTTGGAAAATTTTTGCGCCCTCAGCTGCTTTGAAACATTTAAGAAATGCAGGTATCTCAGAAACCTTCCCTAATGTTGACATAGTGTACCGCCTTTACCTAACACTTCCAGCTCCTAACTGTAAAGGAGAACGTTCATTTTCTGTTTTGAAAAGAGTGAAAAACCTGCCTCCGTTCAACAATGAGCAAGACAAATTGTGTAACCTAGCCTTGTTGACCATTGAGTCTGATCTAGCAAGAAATATTGATTTTCAGAATATAATTGATGATTTTGCCAATATGAAATCCAGAAAAAAGTTTATTTAAGAAGTGCCTGTGAATATAAACAATTCTTTATTTTCTTGAGTTTATATGATTTGATAGTCTATGCATGATGCAATGACAACAATAATGGTCAGTTGATTTATAAGGGAATAATAGTGCTGTAGTGGTTATGCTGAATATAATAGGTACATGATGTCACTACTTTAATAGCCTAATCTAGTAATACTATGCTGTCTTGAGTTTATTCTCTTTAAAATGCATGATTTAACAAGATAGTTATAATGGCTGTTGGTAAATGGTTTTGGTTGTCTTGATGTACTTTCCCTATTAAATTTAATCTAAATAGCCAGAATGTATTTAATTAGACCTTAAACAGGCTCACACCGACCCCCCCCCCCAAGCTGGTAGGGGTCGCTTTGCTTACCCGTAACTCAAAAGGGCCCCGCCAATCTGAATAGCCTAGGACCCGGAGACTTCTTAATCCGGCCCTGTGTGTCGTGCCGAATATGTAAAACTGGTCAATTAGCAAGAACTCATTTAAAATTAAGTCCCTTCTGAAATTTTCTCTTATACGTTTAAAGATATATTTTTTTTATTAATGTTAATGTAAAATTTTTTAATTTTACACCAAAAGAATCTTAGAAAACTTACCTAACCTTATTATAACAAGAACAATTTATTTTAGCCTAACCCAACTAAATATATTTTAAATACGTTTACAATAATTTAGTACTAAACAAACACAATCAAATATATTTTTTTCGTTAGGTTTAGAAAGATTTTGGCGAAATTATTGCATACACAAATTTTCACTTGTCCTAAATGGCAAGATGAGCGTTGCTATTTAAGCCAAGATCGCAAGTTCTGCCTATTCGGCACGACATATATGTATATATATATATATATATATTTTGTATTTTATGACTTCCTATTAAACTTTAAAACTTTATTTTGATTCTTGAACATATTCTTTTACTTCAAACTTGCTCTTGTATCTTTAATTTTCTCTTGGGTTTTAAACTTTCTCTCAGATCTCTCGGGCTTCAACCTTTCATCAGATTTTAAACATTCTCCTGGACTGTTAAAAAAGTTCTTTAAATTCTCAGTTGTACTTTTAAGGTCATAGAGCACCGTGGGGGGGGGGGAGTGAGGTGTAGAAAGTAATCAGGGTTGAGGAAGAGTAAGAGTTCTCCAGTTCCGTGGAACAAGAGCCTTTCAGTGTAAATGTACCCCTTTGAAGGAAATAGTCTCTAAAATCATCTTGGGTGAATCTTAATATAAAATGGTTTTGACGTTATATAAATAAAACAAAAGATGCAAGTGCAACATTTGGGCATTTTTACTGTGGAGACGTTTCGCCCACCAGTGGCTTTAATAATCCAGTACAGATAATACTGTAGACGGTGGAAAGTATGAAGTATAACAATGGAGTGATCATCTGAAACTATTACTTCACATCTTCCACCGTCAGTGGTGGGCGAAACGTCTCCATAATAAAGATACCCAAGTGATGCACAATTGTCTCATTCATTTACTTGTCGGATTAGTATATAATCTTGACATTAATGTAGACGCAATGTTCTAAAATTATTCTCATAGTGCCCTTGTATTTCATAAGATTTACATTGCACTTCCTCTCTTATCACTTACTCTATTAATAACTTTTTATTTTGGTGTGTAGATTAGTTATCTGTAGTATCTTCCATGGATAGAGAGGCAGTCTCAAAAGTTTCTGTTGTCCAGTCCATGTGAGCAGTAATTAATCTCTGTGTTTTGCATCTTATATCTCGTTCTGAAATGAGATGTGAGGACAGAACAGCATTGTAAACGAAAGAGCACAAGTGAAGTGTACCAACACTGTCATGGCTCCTCATGTCTTAAAAATTATGCTAATTTGCAATGTCATCGTCCTGACCCAGGCTACAACGTTAAGTCGTCTGTCATTTATATTATTTCATTGTTTATCTGTTTCTTCTCTTTTTATTAACAAATCTGACCGAATTTTATATCCTGTACATAACTGGATCAAGTTCTTCGATTTTTCTGTATCGAAATAATTGTTATCACCGTTAATCCTCATGTTATTTTCAGTTCCCAAGATTTTTTTTTATCCATTATTTTTTTTTCTTAGTGGGGCAGCACTCGTGTTTTCAAATATAAACACGAAATTATTGTTTTGTTTTGTTTGTGTCTACTGCAACGAGGCACTCCAGGTACCCGGGTGGGCCCGGGTCCCTGGATCCCCGGGTACCCTTATCCAGGTACCCTGGTAGTACAGGTACCCTGGCAGTGCCTAAAGGGTTTGGGTTGGCTAATTGAGTCTAAAATGGGGGTTAAAGTAACTTAGTGTATCTACACTGAGATACACTCCTCTCAGTGAACAGTGCCTACACTGAGATACACTCCTCTCAGTGAACAGTGCCTACACTGAGATACACTCCTCTCAGTGAATATAACCTTGGTAAGGTGATACTACACGGACTATCAATTGTCACCTGTTAAGTTTCAGTTATGTACCTATATATAACCTTGAGTGCCTTGTAAAACAGAGCATTACAATGCATACAGATTAAATTTGGTTTCGTTTGTTATTACTCTTTGTGATCTGTTTGTTAGAAAATTGAATATCGCTGTTTACTACTTTATCCGCAGTACTTTTTCCTCTCATTTCATGAACTATCTCATAATGATTGAATTTGTTATGTGATTCTGCAAGGTTGGTACTGTGCTTTGCATTTTTTTTCCAGTACTTTGGCGATAATGTTATAGTGATCTCATAGTTTTAGCATTAATACCGAAGCAGTGAGGCAAAAAATGCAAAACACAGGTTAGGTTAGGCAAGATTCTTCAGGAAACTTGACTAGTGTTTTTTGACGCAGGTTTTAATTATATGATGATTCGCCACTGGAACTTTTGGTCATCTGACCGAGGGTTTTTGCTGGCTTACCGTCCACCCCTTTAAATATTAAAACCTGATGGGTTTATATTCTGAAAAAAATAATAAGAGTATCATAGATTTACCAAAGTATCAGTAAGTTAACCTTGCAACTGACTTGTAAAGGTTTATATTATATAACTTGTGATATTCCTGATTATTATTAATTTATTATTATTATTATATATTATTATATTATTATTATTATATTATTAAAGGAGTCATACAGAAAACTGTTGAATGGAAGATCATCAACTTGATCCAAGATGTCATGTAGGGGGTATTGGATGGATTAATAATTGGGGAAATATGTGAGTAACCTGGGAGGGAAGTAGGCAGGAACAGGCAGCGAGGTGGTAGGAGAGATGATTAGCGGAGGTCGGTAGGTAATGTGAGGTCATTGGTGACTACACCTTCACCTCTCATTACTCTACCTACCACATCACTCACCCTCTCACTACTTGAAATAAAGTAATGAATAAAAGAGCAAATAACGGGGACAGTGAATATTACTATTCTACTCAAACAGTTTATTATTAAGTCCTTGTGTACAATAATATATTTGGGAACAGGAGAACATTATTGTGGTTTAGATAAATGGGGTGGTACATATAAGCAGTGAGACGGGGAATACAATCAACTTGACGAAAATGAATATAACTTGCAATATAGTTCAGAGGACAGTTCACCACAGGAACTAAGCCACAGGTCCCAAGACCTACACAGCACGAGTACTGCTCCAAGCCAGTACTCTGCCCAAAGTCTCCAACAGTCTCCTCCAGAGACTTTCAGCAGCCTTCTCCGGAGCCCTGCACCCCAGCAGCAGCCCCTCTCGAATCTCCTGCTCAGAGCTCTGCACACAGCAACAGCTCCGCTCCCCTCGAAATCTCTCTGCTCAGTTGTTACTTGGGCTTATATTGTCCCGAGAGCAACCCCCACAATGGGGTGTGCACTACGTGTTGCGACCTGACGCCGAAATCTGACCCCAGTGACGAACAAAGGAGCTGAGGCTTAAGCCGAAAAGGTGTGGCTAATAGCTATTTGCCAAGGCAAGGTGTGACCATATAATTAGGTCTCCCTAGAGACCTCACAAGCCCAGCTGAACTGCATCACGAGGAAGGAGAGGACAGCTTCATTTTCTTGAATCAGGAATCTTTCACCAACATTAAAGTACCTCCACATCCACCCTACAGGGGCTCTAATCTATAAACTTTTGTGAAGTGCGAAATGATAGACTTGGTTGTTGGTTTGGGTTTGGTATATGGTTTTCAAGCCTGTCTACTACACGGGGGTGAAAAAAGGGCCCTACATGCCCACTTGGTCATCACCAAACAATGCTTCATACCTTTTTTTTTCAGTATATTTGCGATTATGTAAAAAAAATCTGATCTAAAGTGGAATTAATATGATTATAAAATTTTAGAAGAATTAGATAACAGTTGGTTTAAAAAAAGTATTTGATAGAATTTTATGTTGATAGATGTTATATAAAATTTGATATGTTGCCACATAGAGAAATATATATGCATTTTTTTAACAATTACTTTATAAAGCTCAGAGATAAGGATGCTGAGAAAATCTGACCAGTGTATGGATGAGGAGGAGGTTTTTGGTGTACCACTGACTGAGGAAGATGGACACCACTGACTGAGGAAGATGGGAACCACTGACCCGAGGAAGATGGTACACCACTGACTGAGGAAGATGGTACAAACCCCTGACTGAGGAAGATGGTGTACCACTGCCTGAGGAAGTCTCTCAGGGGAAACACTAAACACAAACCAGAATTACAACGAAGATACTCAACCCACAGGCAAGGATGAAAGGTGACGAGAGAAACCATGTAGCTGGTGCACTCTTATGTGCCGCACTGTGTTTTGTTATTAGTAGCAAAAAGAATATTAAATTTTTAGTATTATGTTATATTATTATTACTATTGTTATTATTAACATTGTCATTATTATCATATTTAATATTATTATAATTTTTCTTATTATTATTATTATATTCTCATTACATTATGGGGAAGCGCTAAACCAGTAGGGAGCATAGACCGCCCTGAGATTATAGAAGGTTATCAGGTTTGACCTGAGGAAATAGAGCGTGGTTCCAAATCCTTGCATCAAGAGTCCAATGAATGGCAAGTACTTGAGACCCGTCTCACGTGAGGTCGTCGACCTAGACAAAGACTTCAGTATACGATAACTATTAATAATTATGTTATGATAATACGACTTTCCGCATCAGTCATCTCAAGGGGGGGGGGATGCTGTGATGCTCAGGGGCTCTTTATCCAAGGAATTGGAGCTACGCTCAGCCTTCCTCGGATCAACCCCCTGAATACCTGCTATGCCGCCCCCGGGAATATAATACCCCTATGGAATCCTACGGGTTTAGCGCTCCTTTATTATAATAATACCCCTAAGGGTTTATTGCTTCCCCATATATACAGTGCTAGTCACGGCATTATGCTGCCCCTCCCCCACATGTATCAAAACACATTCCATGAAAGATTATAAATAATATATATATTTGCACACTTACTGAGGTTTTAATACTTGTTGCTGCGTCCTTTACTCTTAATCACGTCCCTCAGCCGTGTAGGAAGACTCTCACACAAATTCTTGAGGGTTTAGGGACGTATATTATTCCATGTCTCGTGTAGAGCAGCATCCAGCCGCGGGATGGAACTGATATTCTGGGGAATTGCCTGGCCAGTCATTAAAGAACCTCACTTCACAGTCCTTAAGCCAATGAACTACAGTGAGTTCACCAACACTGAGCACTGAAACACCCCCAAACCATGAGCGAGTCTGGGAGTTTGGTGGTCCCACAGATGTAGCGTGGGTCTAGCACGTCACTACCTCTGGGCCGGTACACAGGTCCCCCATGGTTACAGGTGACGGTGAAGGTTGCTTCATCACTCCAAAGTACTTCAGACCACTGTTGAGGATTCTAGTCAAGATATTTCTTTGCATAATCCAGTCTACGTTTCTTCTGTGGCTCGGAGAGGATCGATTTCTTAACCTAGCAGTGACTACTGTAGCCCAGTTCTGACATTTGTCTGTTAACAGTTCTTACAGATTCCTCTGAGAGAAGATGTGGGTTCTTTTAATTCTCTAGCAGTTATCTTAGGTGTACTCTCCAAATGCTTCTTTAACACAGTTAAGGTATGAACAGATGTCTTCTTCGAGGTGCCAGGCCTAGGTTTGGCAGACAGTAACTGGACACCGCCACCAGCCTTGAAACGCTGCACCCAGTTCCTCACTGAACGCTCACACACACCAACATTCTCCACTATTTCTTTCGTCTGGTGCCCAGCTTTGTGAAGCCCTATGATTTGAGCTATAGTTTCAGGTGTTAAAGATTTCCTTTTACCCATAATCAAACATGTATAGGCCCGAAACCAAAGGGAACGCCGGACAAAAGATGGGGCAGATGAGAGACAAGAGTGCAACACTTCCTCTCACCAAGGCAGCCACGTGAGCACAGAGAAGTCACTGTGGAGTGTGGCGGCAGGCTGTGACGTCATACTAACGGCTGCTACCTGGCATAATGCACTGACGAGAAAAGACCCCTGTTAGGTAGACCTTCGATTTTCGTCACGGCATTATGCCGGGGCGCTCACCCGGCATAATGCTGTGATTAGCACTGTATATAATACTATTTACTACTGCTACTAATACTATTATTATTATTATTATTATTATTATTATTATTATTGCTATTACTGTTCCTGCTACTACTACTAAACTAATAATAGTAACTAATGTCAGGTACGGCTGGGTAGTGGTGGTGTCAACTTTCCTGATTAACGTGATGGTAGCCGGTTACATGAAGAGCTTCGGTCTGCTCTACATGTACATCCAGCAGTACTACCCCAACAGCTCTACAACAGGGGGAGGCTGGATGCTGGGGCTCCTCTCAGGCTGTAGGGGACTGCTGGGTAAGTTTTTTTTACTGCCGAGGGAAAAAGATATCCCATTCTGTAGTAGCCTCCAGGCCTGATTAGCCTCCGTGCTCGCGTATTTTGTCTATGACATTCCATACCGACAAGTTGATGAATAAGACATTTTTGCAGCGCCTGGGTAGCTTTATTGCCGAAACGTTTCGCCTGCGGAACAGGCTTCTTCGGCGGAATAAAGGTGAATACACTACAAGACGTAGAAGCAGTTTTAAGGTGATCAGTTTGTCACCTTCAGTGGGAGGTGATCGGTCCCTCAAGCTTATTTTTACCGCTGTCTGTGTTGTAATCTCCTGTTGTGCAGGCGAAACGTTTGGGTAATAAAGATACCCATGTGTTGCATAAAGTGTTTTATTCATCATGCTCATGTATTGTTTCGTCTATTCATTCTTTACTGTAACCATAACTGATAGCTCAATTGACATTACTATTACGCCACATAAATGTGTCGTATTTAACTTAGCATTTAAGTGATCTGAACCTTAATTATGCATTGTTAAGTAGAAGAATAAGTCACAATACAGTGGCTGAAACAAAGCAAAAAAAAAAATCCACACTCTGGAAAGAACCTTATGACGATGTTTCGGTCTATCATGAACTAACGTCAAGTCAAAAATATTGTGACTTGACAATGGTTCAGGATGGACCGACACGTCGTCATAAGATTCGCTTATGTGTGAGGATTTATGGTGCATTAAGTAGTTTGAAGTCCTGGTTATATATTCTTAGAATGTCAGAAATACCCAGAAGTGGCTTTCCATTCGGCTTAAAATCTATGCCCTTTATTTCATGTAACCAATGTAAACTTTTTGGGAGGTTAAGAGCTAGATTATTATTCGAGACGTGTGGGTCATTCAACGCAGCTCTTAAATTAGAGTTGAAAATCCCACGTTTGCCTTTATTAAAAAAGAAACTCATCCATCCTGGCAGCATTATTTTGCAGCAAGATAGTGTTTTAGCTAAAGGTTGATTTAAAGCCTATCTTCTAAACTATGGGTCATTCAAGCTGCATATAACCAGGCAAGAATACTTTGTCTCTAAGAGTAAGACACATCTCGGTGTATATATTATGTGGTGTATTAGCCAAAATAGTGTGACATTAATATATCATATGCATACGTATGTATAATAAAAAAGACGAACGATGTATGTCGTTTTTATTTAGCATAAGCATGGGGAATTGCGTTACATTAACAATGTCATAAATATAGCATTTAAGTGTTTTTCTTTATAGAAAATACAATGAATTTGCGTTCACTTTCAGCACCTATGATTGGAATGCTGATGGTGCGGCTGGGCCCCCGTGTGTGCAGTGTGTGTGGAGGTCTGGTGACCGCGCTGGGCATCTTGTTGGCTCTGCCTGCTACCTCAATCCTGCATCTTGCTGTCACTCTAGGGGCACTAGTAGGTGTGACTCTATATCAGAGCGACTCTGAGCTCTTCCAGAGAGACTGTCAGGAGCGGCGCCGAGGTAGAGCTGAAGGCCCTACAAAAATTCCATCTGCCCCCAAATAATAATAATAACGTTGCTTTAAGACATGTTCCCTAGCCCCCTGTACCATGCACATTGCCACCCCCTTGTAATCTCCTTCTGTATAAAACTTATGGAGCTGCCCCTGGCTGAGTTTCCCGGAGTGACTGAGCTTCCTCCTACTTATAAGACACAGTATGCTCATTTTATTGAGATGTTTCACTCGGCAGAAATGATAGGCTATGGTTAATGAACCGTCTTTCCAATAAAATGCAATAAACCACCATTTGTGTGTTATCAATTTAGTTAAGAAAGCTTGAGTTCCTTTCCCGTAATCTCTTCTTTCTGTCCAAGGCCTTTAAGTTGGATCTTTTAAGTCGATTTATCATTTCAATTGAAATGCGGGAATCGGACTTCGTTTCGGCCCTTTCCAGGACCATTAACAAGTGACTTGATAGTATGCAAGGTCGGATTAAAATGTTGGCCAGGTTAACATTTCCAGTTTAAAGTTTCATTGTACATATATATATATATATATATATATATATATATATATATATATATATATATATATATATATATATATATATATATATATATATATATATATATATATATATATATATATATATATAATATATATAATGCAAAACAACCACTCTGAAAGAATAGAGAAATTCCAAGCGCTTTCGTGACTACACACATTATCAAGTTTCTTGATAATGTGAGTAGTCACGAAAGCGCTTGGAATTTCTCTATTCTTTCAGAGTGGTTGTTTTGCATATTCTGAAATCACCTGTTTACTGTGATCTTATTGTGTGTATATATATGTATATATATATATATATATAATATATATATATATATAAATATATATATATATATATATATATATATATATATATATATATATATATATATATATATATATATATATATATATATATATATATATATTATTATATATATATATATTTATATTCCAATAAATAGGAAATGTCTTATTATTATTACTATCATCGCTGGGCAGCTCTAAATCCGTAAGAATCATTCAGGTGCTTGAAGAATGGGACGTAATCAGGTTTTGAACCTAAGAAGGTTCAAAGAACCCTTCCTCTTCAAGGGGGGCTCCTTGGCGTGGTGAAGAGGCTCTTGGTCTGAGGAATTAGACCTGTCGGTCTACTTCCTCAGACCGAACCTAATTACCCCCCAATCCCCCGTTCCCTATCCCATCCTCCCCTTTTTCCTTTCCTCCTCCTCCTCCCCACCCCTCCCTTTTCCCCTTCCTTTTTGGCCTTTGGTTTTTTTTTTTTTTTCCACAGGCACGCTAGTTCCTAGGTAGGGGAAAGGGTACCGGGGTCCATCCCATTCCGTTGAGGTTCTTGGCGGTGGCGTAGTTTGCCGTGGAATCTGGATTGCCTGGGGATGTCCTGATCCCTCTCTGGTATCCCGGAGGGTGGCTTTGGGTGTCTCTCGGGCGACGGGTGTATCTCTGGAAGCCACCTTTTGGATTCCGGGGGTGGTGGCCGAAGGAGGTATGCTTTGTGGCGGATTTCCGGCCGCCCTCTCTTTTGTCCACCGAGGTAGCTCGGCAGATGTGAGGTTGCTATCCCGGATTGCCAGTTTACTGGCATGATGGGTAGGGTATGGCACGGGTTCCATGCTGCATCTGCGCTACTTGCGGTGCTAAGGTCCTCTTGGGCGCGGAGGGAGATTTCTGGCCCTTTCATTCCTCCTAGGAACTATCCCTCCCCGGTCCCCCCTTTTTTTATTCTTTTTTATTTTTATTTTCTTTTCTTCTTTCTTTTTTTTCTTAAAAACAAAAAGAAAGAAGTAACCTAACCATGGCAGCCCTAGTCCATGAACCTGCTACCCCCGGGCCCCTTCTTGATACTGCACCCCGTTCTGACCCCGCCTCATCTTTGGACCACTCTTCGGACACTCCTCATGCCTCTGTACCTCTTGCCGGTGCTGTTTCCTCACCCGCTTCAGGTACTGAGGCCTCGACTGACTCCTTCGATTGATCTGACCTTCGCTCTCCTCTGACTATGCTTCCGGCCTCTCCCTCTACAGTGCGGCAATTTTCAAATCGCCGGCCCGTTCCACGTCGGAACGGGCTTAAACGCCAACGACAATTACCTGCTGATGATACTTCTCCACCTTCTCGTTCTTCTCAGAAAAGATCGACACGTCCTTCACTACCTTACCACGCTCAGTTTCAGACTGCACAATGGACTAAATTCTTCACTTTACGACCGACTTCCTCTACTGCCTATCTTTCTGACCACAGTATTGGCAAGGCACTCCTACGCCATGTTGGTAAAGATATTTTTTTTCATGCTCTTAAGAGCGGTACGTGCATCGTCACCGTACAGAATGCTACCCAGGCTCATGAGCTTTCTCGTCTTTCCCATATCGATACTGTTCCTGTAACTATTGAAAAACATCATTCCCTCAATTCTTGTAGTGGTACCGTCATTCTGCCCCATACCATAGTTCAACAAAATTTCCAGACATGTGGCACTGACATTCTTGAACAGCTGGAACTCCAAGATCTCCCAATCCTCAAGGTAGACACTTACGTTCTTCCTGCCCGCAGGCGGAGACGATACCCTAGCAATGTGGCTCGTTTAACTTTTGAAAGCCGTGAACTCCCATCCTCAGTTTATGTAGCAGGACATCGGTTACAAGTTCGAAAGGTGATCCCTACACCGCAACAGTGTAGAAATTGCTGGCGATTTGGCCATCCAGCGAAATATTGCAGATCTATCGCCGAATGCCCAGTCTGTGGTGCCGATGACCATTCTAATACGTCTTGCAATCGACCTCCCTCTTGCCTTAATTGTCATGAGGCTCACCCTTCGTACTCTCGCCGTTGTCAAGTCTACTTAAACGAGCGGGAAATCCGTTACCTCAAAGAGGCAGAAGGTCTCCCTTATGCCATGGCAGTTTCTCATCTCCGCCTCCAAGGGAGACTACCTCGTGTTTCTTATTCCCGTGTTTCAAAACGTCCCCCCACTTCTGGTATCCCATCTTCTGCACCCATCTCTGTGGTTACCTCTCCCATAGTCACTCCTGTAGCTAATTCTTTTGCTGTCCTCGGCTCAGACGTCCCTACTTCAACGTCTCAGTCTGATCTCGCTTCTTCGTGTTCTCTCTCACAAGCCTCAGTAGCGACGAGATCTCGTATGACACCTCCTCCCAATCATCCCTCTACTTCTCAAAAGTCAAAAAAAAGGTCCATTAACACCTCCTACCCATCTTACACCTCCTCATTTTCCCTTCCCTGTCTCTGTACCTGGTTCTCCCCCTCTCACTGGCTCTGTTACAAGTGTAGAGGTTCACCCTCCTCCTCGTACTGTACCTTCCTCCCCTGTTCCCTCCCAAGTTTCTTCCTCTTCTGCCACCTCCCAGGTTTCTGCATCTTCTGTCCCCTTCCACGCTTCTCCAGTTCCCTCCACCCTTTCGCCCCCCCCCCTACCTTGGTACAGTCCATTACAGTTCCAATATTACTCATCCTCCCCCTACCATTTCCAATATTGTCTCCCATACGACGTCTCTGAATTCTGAAACACTTGAAGCAATCTCTGAATATATTGCAGAGACCAAACCATCAATGGACACTGATCCACCCTCCGCTCCTTCTCTCTCCTCTACTCCATCTGCGCAACTCCTTTCTTCACAGCGCACCGTTCCTTCGCTGCTTGAACGTTTTCCACTGCCTCCGCATGTGGACTTTTCTAACCCCTCTAGTCCGTAGAACCCTTACCTGCGGATTTCAGGTATCTTTATCATTGCCAATCATGGCCTATTTACAGTGGAATATACGCGGCCTCAGGGGTAATCGGGGTGAGCTTCAGATGTTACTCTCCCAGTTTTCCCCTGTTGGTGTTTGCTTACAGGAACCAAAATTACACTCTGCTGTTATCTCTCCCATCTCAGGCTATAATTTATTGTATTCTTCAGATCCTTTTCCTGATGGGACCTTTAATGAAAGTGCCCTTCTTCTACGCACTGATATTCCGTACCATCAGCTATTTGTTCGTACTTCGCTGCATTACACAGCAGCCCGTATCCACTTACATAGGTGGTTTACGCTCTGTTCTTTATATCTCTCTCCTCGGGCATTATCTATTCCGGATATTGCCTTTCTTGTTTCGTCATTACCACCACCAATTCTGTTACTTGGTGATTTTAATGCCCACCATTTTCTCTGGTGGGGGGGTCTCACTGTGATTCCCGTGGCATTCAGTTAGAGGCTTTTCTTGCTACCCACCCCCTCCATGTTTTAAATACAGGTACTCACACCCATTTTGATCCTCGGACTCACACTCTCTCTTGCATCGATCTCTCAGTCTGCTCTTCCTCCGCCACATTAGACTTCACTTGGTCTGTTCTTCCGGATTTACATGACAGCGATCATTTCCCAATCATTCTTACTTCCCCTTCATATTCACCACCTCTTCGCATCCCACGCTGGCAATTTGATCAGACAAATTGGAACCTTTACTCACACCTAACTGTTTTTAGAGAGGTTCTTCTTCGTCCTCCATCGATGAGCTTTTACACCTCTTCTCGTCCTCCGTTTTAACCGCAGCTTCTCATTCTATACCCCAAACTTCGGGCAGGCATTCTCAGAAATGCGTGCCTTGGTGGTCTCCTGCTTGTGCTCGTGCAGTACGTTTGAAATGCGCTGCATGGGGCAGGTACCAGTACAATAGAACCAAAGAGAGACTTCTTGATTTTAAGCAGAAGCGTGCGATCGCTCGCCGTGTCATCCGTGACGCTAAACGCACTTGCTGGCGAGATTATGTCTCCACCATCACCTCTGCTTCCTCTATGAGTGCAGTCTGGAAAAAAGTACAAAAACTGAGTGGTAAATATTCTCCTGACCCGGCTCCTGTTCTGCAGGTTGCCGGTGTTGATATAGCAAACCCACTAGATGTTGCCAAAGAAATTGGCAATCATCTGGTCCGTATTTCTCAGGGACTCCATCTATGCCCCTCATTTCTTTCCTCAAAGTCCTGCCAAGAGTTAGCACCCTTGGACTTTTTCTTCTCTCAGGGAAGAACAGTATAATGTGCCTTTTACACTTCAAGAACTGGAGGCAACACTCTCAGCTTGCCGATCATCGGCAGCTGGGCCCGACGACATTCATATTCGTATGCTACAACATTTACATCAGTCAGCCCTTGCAGTCCTATTATGCCTTTACAATCTTATTTGGTCACAAGGAGTTCTTCCACAGCTGTGGAAATCCGCCATTGTTCTCCCTTTTCGCAAACCAGGCACTAAGGGACATGAAACCTCCCACTATCGTCCCATTGCTCTTACCAGTGCAGTTTGCAAAGTGATGGAACACCTAGTAAATAGACGTTTAGTGTGGTATTTAGAGACACACAACAGTCTCTCCACTCATCAATATGGCTTTCGCAAGGGACGTTCTACCATAGACCCCTTACTACGCTTGGATACGTATGTTCGTAATGCCTTTGCGAATAACCACTCAGTTATTGCCATATTTTTTGACCTTGAGAAGGCATATGACACTACTTGGAGGTATAATATTTTAGCCCAAGCCCACTCCTTAGGCCTTCGAGGCAATCTACCATCCTTCCTTAAGAACTTTTTAACTGACAGGCATTTCCGTGTTCGGGTTAATAATGTGCTCTCCCCGGACTTTATCCAAGCTGAAGGTGTCCCCCAGGGATGTGTTCTGAGCGCAACACTTTTTCTCCTTGCTATTAATGATTTGGCCTCTAGTCTTCCATCAAATATTTGGTCATCACTATGTTGATGACTTCACTATTGCCTGTGCAGGTGCTGACTGTCACCTTATTACAGTTTCTCTCCAGCATGCAGTCGACCGTGTTTCCAATTGGGCCACCACACGTGGGTTTAAATTTTCCAGCACTAAAACCCACCAAATTACTTTCATTAGACGCTCTGTCATCTCCGATTATCCTTTGTACCTCTATGGCTCCCGTATCCCTGAACGTGATACAGTCAAGTTTCTGGGCCTCCTCTTTGATCGTAGGTTATCCTGGAAACCTCACATTACCTCTCTGAAGGCAACTTGTCACAGCCGGCTGAACCTTCTTAAAACCCTTGCTCATCTTTCATGGGGAGCTGATCGTCGAACCCTCCTTCGCCTACATTCCACCCTTATTTTATCGAAACTTGATTATGGTAACCAGATCTATTCAGCGGCATCTCCTGCTACTCTCTCTAGCCTTAACCCCATTCATCACCAAGGATTACGTTTATGCCTTGGTGCTTTTCGCTCTTCCCCTGTCGAGAGCCTCTATGCAGAAGTGAACGTTCCATCCTTATCCGATCGCCGTGATGCCCATTGCCTTCGCTACTATGTACGCTCTCATGATCTCCGCAATCCTGCCATTTATAGAATGGTCACTGATATTAGTAGACATTCTTTATTTGTTCACCGCCCCTGTTTACTCCGTCCCTTCTCTCTTTGCCTTCATTCGCTCTTGTCTTCTCTTCAGTTACCACCTTTCTATGTACATGTAGCATCTCACTTTTCCTACCCCCCTGGGAATTCCAGCTGTTCGAGTCTGTTCTTTCTCTCTCCCTTGCTCGAAAGCCCAACTGTCTACGGTCGCTTCCCGCTCTCTTTTTCTTGACCACTTTCACTCTCATTCTCATGCCATTGCTGTGTACACAGATGGCTCTAAGTCTTCTGATGGCATAGGATTCGCAGCAGTGTTTCCAGACAGTGTCGTACATGGGCATTTACTATCTTCGGCTAGTATTTTTACTGCTGAATTGTATGCCATCCTTACAGCACTTATCCGTATTGCATCTATGCCTGTGTCATCATTTGTGGTTGTCTCAGACTCCCTTAGTGCTTTACAGGCTATACAGAAATTTGATACACCTCACCCCTTAGTCCTCCATATCCAACTGTGGCTACGCCGCATCTTTACCAAGCATAAAGATATTGTTTTTTGTTGGGTGCCTGGTCATGTTGACGTACAGGGCAATGAACAGGCAGACACTGCTGCACGGTCAGCAGTACATGACCTACCAGTTTCATGTAGAGGTATTCCATTTACGGACTATTTTGCTGCAATATCTTCCCAACTTCACACCCGTTGGCAACAACGTTGGTCTACTATGCTCGGCAACAAACTTCAATCTATTAAACCGAGTATAGGTTACTGGCCGTCTTCTTATCACCAGTGTCGAGGTTGGGAGACTACTCTCTCCCGTCTTCGCATTGGCCATACTCGTCTTACTCCCTGGATATCTCATGGAGAGGCGCCCTGCTCCTCTCTGTGAGAATTGCCAAGTTCCATTATCAGTCAGCCACATTCTGTTGGACTGCCCACTTTATCAACGAGCATGCAGAATTTACCTCCGTCGTCGTCTTCGCTCTGCTGCTTTCTCTTTACCTTCCCTTCTCGCTGATGGACTCACCTTTCATCCAGACTCTCTCATTGACTTTTTGACAACAACTGACTTACTTCACAAATTCTGATCCCTTCAGCCCTTTCTACTTCAATCTCTTGCTACCCTCTACCCCCGTACTATCCCCTGCCCCGCTGTTTTCTGTAACCTACTGATCATCCCTCCTCCCTTCTGCCATCCAATACCCTCGCTTCCTTCCCTACCCTGCAGCACTGTATAGCCCTTGTGGCTTAGTGCTTCTTTTTGATTATAATAATAATAATCAAAGAACCCTTCACCTAAGTGTTCACCTGAAATGTTCCATATGCTTTTACATTAATACAGTGGAACCTCTGGTCACGAACGCTTCTGAACACGAACAAATCGGCTCACGACCAAAAAATTCGTTTGCTTGGTAAAGATGCGGCTACGCCGCATCTTTACCAAGCATAAAGATATTGTTTTTTGTTGGGTGCCTGGTCATGTTGACGTACAGGGCAATGAACAGGCAGACACTGCTGCACGGTCAGCAGTACATGACCTACCAGTTTCATGTAGAGGTATTCCATTTACGGACTATTTTGCTGCAATATCTTCCCAACTTCACCACCCGTTGGCAACAACGTTGGTCTACTATGCTCGGCAACAAACTTCAATTTTATTAAACCGAGTATAGGTTACTGGCCGTCTTCTTATCCACATGTCGAGTTGGGAGACTACTCTCTCCCGTTCGCATTGGCCATACTCGTCTTACTCATGGATATCTCATGGAGAGGCGCCCTGCTCCTCTCTTGTGAATTGCCAAGTTTCCATTACAGTCACCACATTCTGTTGGGACTGCCCACTTTATCAAACGAGCATGCAGAATTTTACCTCCGTCGTCGTCTTCGCTCTGCTGCTTTCTCTTTACCTTCCCTTCTCGCTGATGGACTCACCTTTCATCCAGACTCTCTCATTGACTTTTTGACAACAACTGACTTACTTCACAAATTCTGATCCCTTCAGCCCTTTCTACTTCAATCTCTTGCTACCCTCTACCCCCGTACTATCCCCTGCCCCGCTGTTTTCTGTAACCTACTGATCATCCCTCCTCCCTTCTGCCATCCAATACCCTCGCTTCCTTCCCTACCCTGCAGCACTGTATAGCCCTTGTGGCTTAGCGCTTCTTTTTGATTATAATAATAATAATCAAAGAACCCTTCACCTAAGTGTTCACCTGAAATGTTCCATATGCTTTTACATTAATACAGTGGAACCTCTGGTCACGAACGCTTCTGAACACGAACAAATCGGCTCACGACCAAAAAATTCGCCAATTTTTTGCATCTGGTCAGGTTATGAACAAAGTGCCAATTTTCACATTCCAAGCCATTTTTTTTCTCACGTGCCAATTTTCCCCACTTCCTGTAATTACGACCGTGATAAATTCGAATTAGCAATGTTTTATCAGGAGGTAGTGCCGAAACAGCTTCTCGCAGAGCTCAGTACCCGGCTAGGGCACTGCCGGGTACTGGCAGTGCTTAAAAATCTTAACAATATTTACATACAGTTTGTAGGGGGTCTGGAACGGATTAATCGTATTTACATACCATCCAATAAGGAAATTAGGTTTGTGTCACAACCTTATCGGGTCGCAACCAGAGTTTTGGAACGAATTATGGTCGTGACCAGAGGTTCGACTGTAACCGAGCCGCAAACTGGGGATGGAAACCAAGCAACATTTCAGTCTGTCATAAATGATTACATAGTTTCATTGGATTAATGGTATACTGACAAGTAGATGAATAAGGCACATATGCATCACTTTAGTGTGTCTGTTTCCATTAAAGTCACTATTCAGGACAGCCTGAAATAATGTCTAGTTTATGCCTTTAATTTGTGGGTTAGTTCTTATATTCCAGCAACTGTAATGTGACATTCATATGTTATGTGTGGGTATGTTGCAGGTTTGGGGTTGAGCATGAGTGAGACTCCGGGCTTCATTATCATCTCTGAGTACTTCGAAGAGCGTCGGGCCACTGCTAATGGCTTCCGCGCTTCTGGAAACCCCTCTGGAGGTGTGGTATTCCCTTTCATTATGGTCTTCCTGTGCAGCGAATTTCCGCTCATGGGGGTGTTCATGCTTCTCGCCGGAATCATGCTGCAAATCTGCATCCTTGGAATGTTGCTAAGGCCCTTCCATATCCATCAGAAAATCGTACAGCAGGAATATAAAAATAGCCTTGTCTCCAGCACCCACGCTGTCCAAAAACGCAATGACTTTCAAGAAAACTCCAGTTTCAAGTTAAATAACTTACCAAAGAAGAGAAAGGCTTTGCAGCTCTCATTCCTGAAGAATCCAGTGTTCCTGGTGTACATTGTCTTGATCATATGCACTAATGCAGGCCTCCAAAATGTAATGTTTTACCTCATACTGTATGGCACATCCATTGGTTTGAGTGGAGCTGAGAATTCCATCATAGTGGCCTTCCTCTCGATTCTGGACGTGTTCGCCAGGATGTTCATAGGCTATATCAGTGACACCAAATACGTGAAGAAGAGGCACGTCTTTACACTGGGGTGAGTTGCCTGAATTATTAATATATTAGTGAGGAAGTAGTGAACCCACCATCAATGAATCCTTGAAGGGATCTAACATAGGTCTTCATAGGACATAAAACAATATCAGCATTATTATTAATACGTACTGTTATTTTTATGTTCAATGCTGATTACTGTGCTATAACAAAGTTTTCACAAAAAAAGAAGCGTTAAAATGCCGGATATTTAGCGCGGAGTAGTAAAGGCCCAAACCTTTATTTACTAATCGTGAATGGCGCAGTATTTGACCAACCAATGGTTTAAAAACCCGACAAGTAAATAAATGAGACACTTGCGCAACACTTGAGTATCTTCAATGTGGAGACGTTGAGGGATTGATTACTTGAATCTCCTACGCGTCTTCCACTACCGTTTTTTTTTTTTTTTTTTTTTTTTAGATTGGCGAAACGTTTTCCCAAGATACCCAGGTGTTGCACAAGCGTTTCATTCAACAAACTGCTGTTAATTTCTCATGTTGACACTGCAGGCACGTAGTAGCAGGACTGTCGATGTTGATGGTGCCGTTGACCAAGAGTCTCGGGACGCTGCTCTCAGTGGTGTGGCTCCATGCTCTGGGTGTGGCTGCCTTCTGGGCTCTCATCAACACACTCTTGGCTGACCAGTTCGGTGAAACCACACTCAGCACCACCTGGGGCTTCGTCAGGATGGTTCAAGGCATCACCAGCTTCGCCTACCCTCCCTTTCTAGGTAAAAAAAAAAATAAAGCTCACTTTTCTGTTTTCTAAAAATGGGAATATTTTCTTTCGAAACATACATGGAAGTTACACAAGTTTACATTCTGGTTCAGTATCGATACAATTATTAAATAATTACATTTGGATACAATTAAAATTGAACGTTCGAAAAATTTATTCTGATGAAGGACTTTGATTCAAAGATTCGTTGGTACACTGTATGATCCTTACGTGTTTAGCGCTTCGTTATGATTGTAATAATATTTCAAGGATTTGGAGTTACTCTATTTTTCCTCGGATCAAACCTGACTGCCTCTCATTCTCCAGGTATTGTGTGATCCTTCACTGGTTTACCACTTCCGAAGAATATAACAAGCTGCTTAAATTCCCTTTCATTATTATTGGTGTATAATAATTCATCATTATACTCACAAAAACATGCTAAACAAATGTGAGTCATTCAGCGTTGGTAAATGCTATCGTGATACAATACCTCCAATATTTTTAATAATCTGTGCAAGAAAGTGTTTAATTCGTTAAGTATAAACATTGTCAAGGAATAATCACAGACAAGTGATGTTGAAGATAATGTTGACTACTAACACAGAAGTCAATGTGATATCCATTAGGCCACGGCAGCATATTTCTACGCAGAGAGGTGTATACCACTTGGTGTATATACACTGAAAGATTGCCTTAATCCATTTTTAAGGGACTAAAGTATTCTTGACTTGCGGTGAAGAGGTGACGTGCAGCCTCAACGTCACAGCAGAGCATCCATTGGCTGACTATTCAGACACAGTATTACTACTACTACTACTACTACTATTTATGGGGAGCGCTAAACCCGTAGGAGCCATACAGCGTCTGGGAGGGGAGAGGTTCTATTTGAATATGCAGTACAAGACACACCTGACATAAATGTTTATGATCAAGCCATCTTGCCTTGTAGTTTATCTATATTTATACCAGCATCACGCAAAATAATTGCAACTTTCTATTCTGCCGCTACTTCAGTAGCTCTTGATCTGAGGAACCTGAGAGCTGCATGCTCTCTCCATATACAGTCACGTAGTATATACATCACGGTGTCTTTTCACGTATGATGCATTTGCTGCTAATTTATTTATTTATGTTATGTCTTTGCAAACAGTACATTGAGATTTTGTATTTACAATAGTGGGTTGCAATACAAAGAGAGCCTCTATTATGCCTAGGCATTATGGGCCAACTTAACATTATTGGCTTACAGACTACTTAACACTAAGGATTATATCATAGTTGCACAGTAGGATAGTAATTATTTCATAGTTGTACAGTAGACTATTAATTATAAGTGAATCAAAATTTGTATAAGACAAAAGATATATTCATTTATTCATGTGGGAGTACATAAGTGAGTATGTGTACTGAATATTTAGCATTTAATGTAGGGTGATTAAGTGGCTTTTGAGAAGAATCTTAAATTGATTTTCAGACCGGGTTACTTTAATATCTTCTGGTAATGAATTCCATATTTTGGGACCCTTTATGTGCATAGAGTTTTTACACAGTGTGATGTGGGCACGAGGTATATCAGAAAGTGATTTGTGTCTTGTGTTGTGGTCATGTGTCCTGTTTAGGTTGGTGAGGAGAAGTTTGAGTGGAGGGTTTATATTTGCGTGTATTGTTCTGTGTATGTAGTAGGCGCATGAATAAGTATGGTGAGCAGATTCAGACTTTTGAAAATTGGTGGAGTATGCTGGCGGGAGTGGGAATTTATCATTCTTACTGCTGCCTTTTGCTGGGTTATTAAGGGTTTTAGGTGATTGGATGTTGTTGATCCCCATGCACAAATTCCGTATGTAACATAAGGGTATATGAGTGTATGGTACAGTGCCAGGAGAGCTGATTGTGGAACGTAGTACCTTATCTTTGATAGTATGCCTACAGTCTTGGAGATTTTCTTGGTGATTTGTTGTATGTGTGTCCGGAACTTAAAAGGCTACTGTCAAGGTGGATAGCTAGGAATTTTCCCTCTGTGAGTCTTGTGACTGATGATCCGTTTAGCGTTATGTTAATTGGATCATTTGCAGCTTTGTTTCCAAACTGAATGAGATAGTTTTACCAGTATTCAGGGTAAGTTTATTAGTCGTCATCCAGGCAGATATTTTCTGCAATTCGGCACTGACTGTGTTTGCTAGTATGACTGTGTTTGGGTGGGAAAAGACATATGTTGTGTCATCTGCAAATAATATGGGTTTGAATAGCAGTGATGCATTCGGTAGATCATTGATGTAGATGAGAAAGAGGAGTGGTCCAAGGACGCTTCCTTGTGGGACTCCTACTGTGATTGGTTGGGTGGAAGAGTTTACATCATTTGCATACACATATTGAGTTTTGTTACTAAGGTATGATTTTAGGTATTTGAGGGAGTGGCCTCTGATACCATAGTGCGTTAATTTGGAGTACAGCAGTTCATGGTCGACTGTATCGAAATCTTTACATAAATCAATGAAAATGCCCAGCGGGACTTCTTTCTTTTCGAGTGCAGTATACGTGTATGATAGCATCATTTCTGCTTTTATTATTACTGAATCCAAACTGACAAGGGTTTAATATGTTGTGTGAGACGAGGTAGGAATAGATCCGTCTATGAATTAATTTTTCAAAAATTTTAGAGAGCAGTGGTAAGTTAGATATTGGTCTATAGTTATTCAAGTCAGCTTGGTCACCTCCTTTGTGGATCGGAGTGACCCTCGCTATTTTGAGGATTGTTGGTGCATTTAATGCTAATTCTAGAATGGTATGGTATGCTGTCTTATTATTACCTCAGGGAAAGCACTGAACCCAAAAAGGTCACGTAGTTCTCATAAAATGAGTCAAATAAGCTTGATCAGAGGAAGGTGATTATTATTATTATGTTAAAGGAATGTGCTAAACTCAGAAGGGTCATACAGGGTCTGGGAAACAGGCAGTTATGAGGTTTGACTTGATCTCTTTTCCCAGTATTCAGGCATTTCCTCTCCTCCCAAGGAAATATGTTCTCTTTTTCCAGTTCATAACCATTCTTGTATTGAAGCAATTGTTATATTCACAAGAAATATTCATACATGTTAGTGGCTCTCTTTGTGCTTAACAATATTTTATAATATGTAAATCATACATTGTAAACTTTGCAAAGAAATAGAAAAAATGAATTTGAAAGCGCTGAATCCATGTGAATCATGCAACACCATTATCCAAATTATCATTTTACGTGTTCTCTGATACTTGATATTCATGTTTTCAAGGACATCTGTATATTTACTTTTAATGATTTTGTTAATTTGTTTTTCACGCAAATCCCTATAAGCAGACATTTTTTCCTTTTCTTTATTGTAGTTGGTGTAATAGCCATACCCATCCTGTGGGCGGTAGTAAAAAAAAAAAAAAAAAAAAAAAAAAAAAAAACTTAAGGCACACAGTGGGTCAAGGGACTATCCACCAAAATTATAAAAATAAATAATTTGTTGTGTGCAGGTTGGCTCTCGGACGTGAGTGAGTGGATGGGGATGCCCTTCCTCTTCATAGGCTGCATGTACATAATGGGAAGTCTTGTCTTCGCCCTCCAGCCCCTCGTTATGAGACTCTCAGGCATCAAGGTCCCTCTCACATGACGCTCCTATAACATTACACAAGTATAGTACAACCAGCCTTGGTGTGAACAACATGAATGATCTTGCAGACAAAATTAAGGCTATACTGATATTATTCTTGGTTGAGTTAATGGGCTTCATAGCATAACGACTACTCTAGGATCATTAAGCTACGTGTAACCAGTTCACCTCCAGAAAATATTTTAATCCCTAAAATAGGGATTAAAACACTCTCATTACATATATGCGCTGAGAAATACACCTCCCAGGGGTTATACCTTGTGTATTGTTATTATGTCCATGTTAAACCTGTAAGGGTCATTCAATGCTTTTAAACTGATTATTGATTTAAACCATGAGGAAAGGAGGAAAGTTGGAAACGGGATTAATGGTTCGGAAAAAAAAGTAAATATCGATAGAATATGTCAGTAGCAGCACTAGAAATTGATTATAAGGATACTCTTAGTGGAAAACTTTAGCTAGCATGACTTAATTTGATTTAACGGAATAATAGGGAATAACAAGTGGCTGATAATGGATTCATGTTTATTGTGGATAGATGACTGTTTTGTCGCGATCTTAGTAATAACGGACATTTATTACTAACGTAATAAATTGTCATTGTCGATCAATTGACCAAGTGGGTTTCATTCCGTATTCTGAAGTATGTTAAATTAAACGTTATGAACAGTGGAACATAACTACAGTACGTACACGTTATCGTGTTGAACTACCTTATACGTATTGCATAGCTAGTACTGTATTAGACGTGGGATTGCGTAACATAGGATACCAGACTACAGAAGAGATTATTCGAGGTTCAAAATTTTCCCGAGTGTGGAAAATACTGTATATATTTTCCAGAAATTCAGTATTTATATGTAAATAGATGGCCATACTGTATTTAATAATATTTGTCATAGAAAACGGAAAGCCTGCGTCTGCGCAGACTAGACTCGCCATCTTGGTTTTGAATTTTGTACAAACGTTGGTGTAATGGGAAGAATTTTTCGTGCTCTAGAGGTTAAAATTGTGTTGACACCTCTCAAATAGGAGGTGAAATTGGTGGATGTGCATTCCTGCATAACTTGAGATATCAGACGACTGGACAAGACAGCTCCAGGAACCTCAGATAAGCTCTTTAGATTTATTTGTGTGTAATTCTGGCCAGCATTATTTTCATAGATTTAGTTAGAGTGAGGTTTTCTTAGTATGATACACATTAATCTCCAGTCAAATTGGTGAGTGATATTAAGATATATTTTCTTTCTGTTATGTAATTGTGTATATCTATAATTATTCTTTAATTTTTAATATACAGTCCACAAATTTATATATTTACCAGTATTCCTGGTGTATGTATATTTCATTTAATTAATAGGTCCAGAGCAACTTGTGGATATGACAGTGGTAGGCATCGAAGGGGGACATTTTTGCGACCTAGGTGTCCCAAATTCCTACTTGTCTATGTAACTCTGATAAATAATAATTATCTTTGTTATCATTTTCTGTTATGTATATAATGAGTTACATTCAGATAAATGCAATTTTCCACACAGAGAGAAATACACTGGGTAAGAAAACTGAAGGGTGTGACACTAACAGATGGTAAGAGAGAGAATTATTAAAACAAAGAACCCCAGTTTTGTGGTTGAAACAATTTAAAAAAAAAAAGTTTCCAAGAGGAAACCTTAGACGATGTTTGGTCCATCCTGGATCAAGTAATAATAATTCTTTATTTACTACCAGTACAGGTACAAGGTATACAGTCCTAGCTGACATCAATGACATACTACTGTATAGAAAGCCACTTGTTATGCAGAGCATTTCGGGCAAATTAGGTCAGTTTTGTCCCAGGATGCGACTCACCAGTCGACTAACACCCAGGTACCCATTTTACTGATGGGTGAACATAGACAACCAGTGTAAGGAAATACGTACAATGTTTCCACCCTTTCTCCGGGAATCGAACCCAGACTTCACCGTGTGAAGCGAGAGCTTTTGTCACCAGGCCACGGGGCACAACTGAGAAAAAAAAATGTTGAGAGAACCAGAACACAGATCACAAAAGGAAGGGGAAAGAAGACAGGTTATGGAATAAAAATTCCAGAAAACAAGCAGAGTTTCTTTCCAAAGTGTGGTTATTTAGTTGATGTGTCCCGTAACTTGATCGCTAGAGCACTCAGTTCACGCAGTGAGCTCCGAGTATCTAATCCCCGGTACGGCTGGAAAACATTAGGACGTGTTTCCATAAGACACACCAGTCAACTAACACCTGAGTGTTAGTTGACTAGTGTGGGTCATTCTATTCTATTTGATTTGCCGGTATGGATCCCGGCCCAGGTCTCTTCCAATTTGGTGACACGGCGTTGGCTCCCGGTATGGCCAAATGACGTACCAAAAGTTAGTGTGCCCTAACGGCGGCTGGTGTGCGATGCAACGGAGGCCCAAAGCAGGCCCTCAGTGACTTCAGTGGGGGGGGGGGTTGACGTGCAATGATTGGGAGTAAGATTTCCAAGTCTCTGACAGCTAAGTACACAAGATGTGCTGCCTCATCCTCCTGGGCTTGGCCCCACTGGGGTCATTGGGAAGTGTCTACGGTGAAGGGGCATCATAGCCGGGCAGTCTAACAGGTAGTGCACCAAGGGTTTCAGAACCAGTCACAATGGGCACAGAGCTCCTCTCGTGCCTGTTCAACAATCTGAGCAGTGGTGGGATACCATAAGTGTAGGTGGTGAATATGCACCCTCAGTTCTCTGGTCTGCATGCGAATACTTGGAGGGGGGCACCCTGTGGGTCTCCCTGTCATACCAGCAGAGGCTCCATGAATCCCCAGGGTCAGGGAGTGGGTGCCTGGTCGCACTGGCAGCCCACATCGCAATCTGGCTGAGGCTGATGGAGATTGCAGCACGTGGCTGTGCCTCGAGGGTTGCGGTCGTTGCAGCTTCAACTGCAGCATCATTGCCGGGGATACCCACATGGCTCGGGATCCAGTTGATGGTGGCTCTGCGACCCTGGGCCATGAGCATCTGCAGGTCACCCCTGATAGATGTGATTAAGTGTATGTTGTCCCTTGGCTCTGTGCATAATTGCCTGGATCACTGCCTTGGAATTAATATGGATGATGGGGGGGATGCTGATGGTCTGCAAGTGCATGCTGCAGAGCTTGTTGGATGGCAAAGAGCTCAGCCTGGATTATGGTGCAATGGTCCAGGAGGCGCCAACCTGCTGTCAGATTGCTGTGGAACATCCCAGCAGCTGTGCAGCCTGCCACTGGGCCTCTGGAGCCATCAGTGTAATATGGCACATACCCTGGGCCTTCCACACCCGCAATGCTAGCCGAGGCAAGTTGTTGCAGAATGTGCTGAGGCAATGCCTCTTGCTGCCTGGTAGGGTTGTCCAGTGCACTGCCAACAGCTCTGGTGCCCAAGGGGGCAGCACTGTGTAGTTTGTTACCAGTCTGTCACAGCCTCCCGCCTGGAGCAATGTAATGGGCAGGAGCTTCCACGTGGCATCTGCAACTGAACACGTCCATTGGCGGCCGGGGTGCATTGGAATGACTTGTCCCTGGCGGACCCATAAATCCCTCATCAGTTTGTCAGCCCTTGGGAGTCGGAGGTACTTTGCTATCCTCTTGGCAGCTACAAATGGGATCCTGTCTTCAAGGGGCTGCAGCTGCACCTCAAAGTTCAGAGCCACTGCATTGGCCCACCTAGGAGCCCCCAGCATGTGTTCTGGATCACACAGAGGGACTTGATGTTTGTGGGTCTGGCATGAACCAGAGCAAGTGCTCCATAGTCAATGAGCGAGCATATTGCCTGGATGTAGAACAATCTCATGACCTCGAGGCTGGCCCCAACCCTAGGGTTGGCCATGGCACTCATTGCCCTGACCCTCTGCAGAGCCCTCTCTTTGATGTGGCACACGTGTTTCTGTAGATGCCAAGGCACCTATAACTGTGAACCCAGTCTGGGTCGATGCCCAGGACCCACAGCCTCTGACTGGGTTCCCTGATACAAAGGATCATGGCTTTGGATTTTGCCGCAGATATCTTGAGCCCCAAGTGATGGCAAGTGGAAGCCAGCAGATCAGGGTCCTCCTGAGCAAGCTGCAAAAGCTGGCGCTTCCTAGGTACGACAAGAGCCAGGTCATCGGCGTAGCTGAGCAGGAAGGTGCCTGTGGAGAAAGGCAGGCGCACCAGCTGGTGCATCAGTACATTGAACAGGGTGGGACTAAGCACCCCACCCTGTGGAGTGCCATTGTCCAGGGTCTTGAGAGAAGATGCATGCCCCTGGAAGCGTACCCGGGCCCGCCTGTCCTGGAGATAGGAACAAAGCCATGCAAGCAGCCTGCCCTTAACCCCCCTGTGGGCCAAGAGTGAGAGGATGGCTAGCTCAAAAGCCTTCTCGAGGCTGAGGAAGACAACAGTGTGGGCTTGGGCGTCCGACCCAATGCCGGCCACAAGGGTGGTAAGACTTTCAAAAGTGCCCACTCCTCTGGTGAAGCCATAGAGGTGTTTATGCGGAGGGCCAAGCTTCCACCTCAGGTGCTCCAACACCATCCTTTCAGACACCTTCGAGATACAACTGGTGAGGGAGATGGGCCTCACACTGCCAGGATCCCCAGGCTTAGGAATCAGTATGATGTCAGCCTCCTCCCATACGGCAGGGAGTTTGCCAGCTCGCCAAGTCCGGTTGACGACCCCCAGGACAGCTGCATGACCAGAATGGCCAGACCGAGTGATCATGCCGTAGGTGATACCATCATGCCCCGGTGCAGTGTCCTGATGAGATGTGAAGGCTGCCTGGAGCTCCTTAGCCTGGCATGCCACTTGGATCACCATCATCATCCTAGGAAGGAGGGTGGCTTGGGTTGGCTCACCATTGTTGAGGAGGGCGATCTCAGGGACCTCCTCCAGCACAGCCGCAAGGTGCCTCCCAGCTGCATTGGTAGGAGAGACAAAAGTAAGTATTGGGTGGTGGGCATTGACATCCCCAGCCACAACAAGACCCTCCAGGGAAGGCGAGTGCTGCCACCTCTGAAATGTCAAGGGTGTACCGAGAGCTTCTGTATATGTTGTAAACCATGAGAGGTCCATCCGGCAGGTGTAGGGTGACAGCCTGAACCTCCATGCCCTCTCCACAGTTGATGGGGTCAGTGGAGATTGAATGAGGGATAGTGATCCTGACGTAGATCGCTGTGCCCCTGCCAGTCCCTTCCAGGCACTGAAGATAAGCCAAGAAGCCCGGGATGCATGGCTGCGTTTGATGTGATGAATTGGTAAGCGTCTCCTGGAGCAGGAAAACATCGACCTCATCCTGAACTGCAGCTTCAATCACTAAGTGAATTTTCTGCTGCAGCCCGCAAATGTTCCACTGGAGGATCTTCAAGGGCCGCAGAGGTGGCCCTCTGATTCCATCTGTCTGGGACTCATCGTCCATTGTTGGTGACTCCAGGGCCTCTTCCATCACGGACTGGAAGGACTCCTGGATGATGGCTTGAAGTTCTGTTGAGTCCTTCCTGTCCAGTAGGACCACGCCCAGCATCCATGACAGGAGCTGTCTGTAGGCACCCCTGTCCTCTGCCAACGGCAGCAGGCGACAGAGGAGCGCTGAGATGACCCTGATGGTTTTCTTCAGTTGAGTGGGAAATGAGTCTACCATTACTTCTGTAGGCGTTGAGCCGGATGACTCATCGAGTCGAGGCTGGGTCACCAGGCATGTTCGGGTGGCTGTCGACACTGCAGCTGCATAAGCCGGGTGCACCCTGGGTCCGGTCTGAGTGGCCATGAGCTTCCGGGTCTCCTGGCGGGGAACGTCTGCCTGACTCTGGCCACTCACAGGAGGGGCCTGCCCTTGGGAAGAGGCCTGCTGGTGGGATGGCAAGGAATGATGGTGCCAAGCTGGGACCTGTTGGGCAGTGTTCCTGGCCTGTGGCTGCTTTTCCCAGTGATTCTGTCTCCCTGGCCACCATGCCGCCTGACCCCGCAGTTGACCATGCTGCTGCAAGCCAGTGCCTGCCCCCTGCTGCGAGCCCAGCGCTGAGAACTCGCTGGTATTGCCCTCCTGCGGCATCCTGGGTACCACGGGTGGAGCCCATACTGACATACTTACTGTTGCTGGGTGGTTCCAAGGCTGGGTGGTGTTAGGGCTGCCGGGTCGTTCCAATGACGAACCTGCTGCCAGTGCTGCACCATCACAGGACAGCTCCGGTTCCAGCATGATGCCTCTTTGAACAGTTGATACACTTGGGCTCTGGCCGAAGGGCCTCACCGGTTGGCTGCTTGAGGATTGCAATGCAGTCCTTCGAGTCGTGTGCCTTGCTGCACACACCACACTTCTTCTCCCACTGGCAGGTGGCTGCAATATGATTGAACCCCTGACAGTGGAAGCATTGCAGTGGGCTCGACAGGTACGGTTGGGTCTTGAATCTTCCCCAAACCCCAAGGTCAAGGTGCGTGGGAAGTGGACCTTTGTGGTGGATCAGCACCTGGTGGGTGAGCACCTTGTTTACCATGGCAGTGAGTCGCTCTGCCTTAACAATATTGGGCACTTCCAAAATGGGGTCCAGTGGGAGGGGCACAGGGACGTGTAAGAGCACCCCCTTGTACACCTTCTCCCAAGCAACCAGTTCCACCATGCTGGGATGTGTCACAACCAGCCCCTTCATCTCCTCGTAAGAATCTTTGTCCCAAGGAATGGCCAGAACCTCATTCCTGAGTGAGAACTCGCAGCAGAACTTGAGGCTGGGTAGGCCTTCCAAATACCTCACAAACCCATAATTGGGAACCTTGAATTTGTTGAAGGTCCTGGTTGCTTGTGCCCGAGCAGAGCGAGAATTCTTTCTTCCACGTGGAGTCAGCCAGTCCCCATCCTCTGTGGAGGCCGACACAACTGGGGGACCTGGGATGGCTCCATCTTCACCAGTTGAGGAGCTACAGCCTCCTAGTGTCACCCTGGGTAGCAGCTGCCGACAGATCTAGTGGCAGATCAGCAGATACAGTAGTCTTCACCACATCCTTGACCTTCTTGGTGGGGGTCCCACCTGCCCCACAACGTCCTCCGACTTGTCCCCGCATTCCAGTGAACGTTTAGGCCGCTCTCCTGAGTCTGACATGGTGACTGTAGGTGTGGGGACAGAACCAGCAGCGGAGCTACTGTCCATGACCTCACAGCCGCCCACCCTGGGCGCAGAGCTGTGAGGCTCAGTACCTCAGTAGGAGACCTTAGCCACCCTCACGTGGCTCACAGCTCTAAAGCACTGAACACAGTCCAACGATCACTAGACAGAATGTGATGAGATAGTGTTTTACACATAATTTTTGTTTTTAACACTGGCTGTCTCCCTCCAAGGCAGGGTGACCTAAAAAAGAAGAAACTCTTTCAGAAAGTTTTTCCTCGCTTTACATTTAGTAATTCATATAGAAGGGGTTACTAACCCCTTGTTCCTTGGCATTTTAGTTGCCTCTTACGACATGCATGGCTTATGGAAGAAGGATTCTTCTCCATTTCCCATGGAAATGTATATGTATGCAAGACATTAATGATATTCACAGTAGAATTGATTCAGGTGAGAATAACTTATTGTATATGGACAGATAAATCTTAGTTGCAGTGGCGTCGTAAGCAGGGGGCCGCCATGGGTGACACCATAGAGCCTCTAAAGGTGACACTAATGCCCAAAACAATGCTGCAGCAACATAAGAGAAAAATCTTTCGTTTCTATATAGCCTCTTATATGATTAGAGAGTACAAATAGGTCTACATAGGGACTGAAGGCAAGGAAATGTAAGATCAGATTCACTGAGATGTTACCTGTACTCAAGATCAAATCAGAACTAGTGTTTCTCTGATATTGCAATGTTTTTTTTTTTTCATTGTTGAAGAATAAATGTACGATCTGTTGCCTGTACTCAAAGTGGTATTTGAGTTTGTTTCCTCAATATTACTATGATTTTTTATTTTATCATTAATAAAGTTGAGAAGTATTCTCCTGTTCAGTTTATGGCCCTTTAGTGTTCTCATTGCTAAACATTAGTCATTGGTCATGCAGTAGTAATGTAACTGGAGTTTACTCCCCCCATTCCCCTGCCCTTGAATTTCATGGGGGTGATACCAAAGATATTGCCATGGGTGACACCAAAGATTCCGCCCCGGGTAACACCAACCCCAGCGATGCCATTGGGTATATGAGAATAAGAATATTTAGATTATACATTATTTAAATTGTTTGGTAATTCAACACAATAATTCTAATAAAAATTATGATAGGAATGAAGCTAGTTACATGAAATGATAACTAAATACGTTGAGAAAATTGTTGTCAGGATCACATTAAGGTGCCTTTTTAACAGTAGCTTTGAAGTAGTTGACTGAGAGGAAACATCTGGCAAAGAATTTCAGATTTTAGGTCTTTTTATGTGCATTGAGTTTTTACACAAGTTGAATAGGACATAGGTAATAGAATTTTTTGTCTAGTATTATGCCTATGAGTTCCATTGCGGCTGTCAAAAAAAAGTTTAAGGACAGCATTAATATTAGAATTGTCCTGTATATGTAGTATGCTCAGAAGTGAGAATTTTATGTGTATATGAAGCATGTGGAGTGTGTTGCCAGGCACTAGACTGGGTGATCATTTGTACTGCCACTTATTGTTGAATTGTTATCGACTTTAAGTGATTTGCTCTAGTGGATCCCCAGACACAAATAGCATAGGTAAGGTAAAAATAGAGTAGTATAATGTAAGTAGTGCTATTTAAGGTACATAGTAATGTTTCTTGGATAGGCTACCTTTAATGTCATGTGCTGAGTGTGGGTGTTGAATTTCAAATTGCTCTCAAGAAAGACCTAAGAAGTTTTCCTATGTCTTGCAATGGAAGAACTGTTGATCATAACATTTAATTAAACATTTGTAGCTCTGTTTCCTAACATCATGTAGATCTTATCATGTGTTAAGACTGAGTTTTATTAGTAGTCATACAGGTAGATATCTTAATGAGCTCCTCATTGACAGTGTCATTGAGAGTTCGTATTTGGGTGCGAGACAAGTGTCTGCAAAAAGAACATTTCTAGGTTGTAGAGATGCATCATGAAGAAAAGCTGAGAACACTGCCTCAGGGCAGTTATGCCCTTGATGGAAACATATTGATGTCTCTTGTTAAGGTAGGATGCAACTGCATGACCTCTGGTATTATAATGTTCTCAGTTTAAGATGCAGGATGTTGTGGTCTATAAAGAGGTCCAGTGGATATTCATTATTCTCAATAGCTGCATGAAGTGAGTAAAGCATTTTTATAATTTCATCGTTTGTGCTTTTATTTGGTCTGAAACCAAATTAGAAGGGGTTGAGTATATTGAGTGGGGCTAGGAAAGAGTGTAGTCTCTTGTGGATTAATTTTTCAAAGATTTTGGATAACAGTGGCATGTTAAATATAGTTATTTATATCAATTGCTATCTTGAGCATTGACAGGAATGTGTTAGTTTCTAATGATCTGTTAACAGTATTGAAGTGGTGGGTGACAGTACATGAACTGCTCTTTAGAACAATGGCGATGGTACACAAGCCAAGTTACCCGACTTGTTTTTCAGTAAATTTATTATCACAGAGACCTCAGCAGGTCTGGTACATATATGCAAAACTTTGCTACATGAATATTTTATATGCCATGTTTTTTAAAAAAAGCTACTAGATTATTTTATCAGTAATATAAATTCTAGACTTGGTTTTTTGCTCCTTTGAAAAAAAAGAGATTTTGAATGTTTTATCTTTTGCTAAATTGTGAGTCTAATTCACATTTAATTTTATTTCTTTGCATTGTACAGTATTTAATCATTTTATTACAGTAATTAGAGAGGTGGAAGTAAAACAATGGAATTCATAAAAAATCCACAACTTTATTTGAATCTAAAACCTTCAGCACCAAAATAGCTATAATTATGTGTTAATTACCTTTTTTGTGATAACCTTTTTATTTATAAGTACAGAAGCAGAGCTATGTTTATGGTGTTTCATCTTGTGTGTTAAATTTACCAAATAATTTTTATAAATTAATGCTGTTGCAGCACTCAAAACCTTTGCTTGTGATACCAAACAAGTTTACTCCATCCACTGCCTTAGACTTCGTTCAGTAATTTTTTGCATATCTGTTCTGGTACTGATAAAAAATATAGATGGAAAAGAGAATAAGAGAGCACAGCTTCAAACTAAGATAAAACAGTATTACCAATAGCATACTATAAAGTTTTTCTTCACAAATCAAGTGGTAGAGCAGTGTAAAGGGAGTTAATAATTTTTATTGTTTTGTAAATGGGTATACATTTTTAGCATGATCTTGTATAGTAACCTTATGAAGAAATTAAAATAGGATAACCCAGTCAAGTCAATATGATTTATTTTCACTGGAATCTTAAGAAGTAGTAGGTGCTACTGTATAACTTTTAAATACCGAAATTGGGCCACATAAGTATATTATCATGATTAAAAATTAAGAGCTAAACCCATGAAGGTTATGTAGCACTGTGGTGTGGTGGTGTATGGGTGGGCATTAGTGGAGCTGGCATTTAATGCAAGTGCAAAATTAGTGTCAAATTTGATGCAATGGATAATTTCTATTAGAAAGCCAATAAAGGATTTTTGTGGGACTATCAAAGAGGTCACACACTGAAGATGTTGAAAGAGAATTCTGCATGCTCTCTGATAATTGAGAGAACAGTCTAAGGTATGGCAGGCCAATAGTTCAGCTTGGCAGTGTTCAGTGAAATGCTGGGTTTCATCTAGGTGGTCTAACTTGTAACTCTGGCAGTACAGTTTCCCACACCTGTCACTATTATTATTACATTTATAAAGGAAGTAAACATGTAGGAATTATCAGCACCAGAAGGAAGGGAATTGGAAGGAGTCAGGTTTGATCAAAGGATGGGGAGGTCAAACCCAGTTCCTTGGATTAAGAGCCTCTCATATCAAGGAACCTTCTTTAAGAGGCCCATCTGACAGTGATGGAAAGATGGCCAAGAACCCAATTGTGGTTTGATAAAAAAAAATTGTTGTACACTAACTCTGACCAGAATTAGTGCCAGTGACTTCTGAAATGTAGAGAGAGTTCTCAAGAATAATCTGAGAAAGGGACCTTCCTGTAGGGGATTGGCAGTTTATAAGTACCTATCGAGTGACCAAGTCTGTATGTTCATTTCTCTAAATATCAGTGTGTCCCAGAACTTGGCAAAAAACTACTTTGATCTTGCTAGAAATTAGAAATAATCATTGTTGTATGCAAAATACAGTGGGATGTGGGAAGTTGAATTTCTAAATAGCTTGTAATGCACTGTGGGGGTCTGAAAGAATGAATGAAGAGGTGAACATACAACAATTGCAGTGTGTATGACAGCAAAAAGAACTGCTGAAAATGATGGCCAGCTAGTAAATGTTTACCTATCTAGAACAGCAGGAGCATAACCTACCACATTTAGGAATTTTGAAATACCATTGTACACTGCATTGGCTTAAGAATGTTAATGAATTTCAAAGAAGAGGTAAGGAAGGGGGAAGGAACAAACTTCAATAGTCAGAACTTCCCAAAGAGATGAAGAAAAGTATAATATGGGATGGAATGAAAAGGAAAGATAGAGATGTGGCCAAAGTTCAAATGTGGAGATTGAAGAGCCACAATAAATGGGGCTGACAACTAAATGAAGTAATATTATTGACATCTCTGAATAATCTGTACACGAGAGGATATTGAAATTCATGGAAGCCTCTCGCCAATCTTGCATACAGGCTCTTGTCTGGGGAAGATCAATAGCTCTGTTCCTGAAGCTTAAAATAGGTAATCACAAAGAGACAATTACACACACAGCATATACAGATATATATATTTGATTTTGTTCAATTTACAGAATATCAGAATGTAGTAGCAAATGAAACATTTTAAAGTAAGCAATTAAAAATACTCTCAATCAAGCTTACTATATTTTTTTAAGGGCTTCAACATTATCAGCTGTACCGACATGCTGTACTGTAATACTCAGTGACTTCAGTAACACATTAAAAAATTCATCTTTGCTCTATACAGTGCATATTACTTTCTCATGCATGCTTGTACTGTATGTTTATGATTTTTGGAAAACTTCTGTATGTCCCTTAACATGCAGTTGCCAACCACACTAAGCAATAAAACCTAACTGTACTGGTTAAGTTTTCTAAAATAGTGGTTTATTCAACAAAACTTTGCAACAATGCATATTGTTTACTCTTATTATCCCATACATTATACTTTCTCAAAGTTTAAACTAAGCAGAATGTTGAATTATATATGTAAAACCAATATGGCCATTAATAACTTTTTGCATCTTATCTGCTATAATATGGCAAACTTTGACAAGCAGTTATTTCTAAAAAGTTATATTGTTCCCCATTAAGTAGCTCTCACTTTATATAAATCTATGTTACAGTAGTTGTATATCACAGACTACCTTATGCTCTGTATAATATATACTTCATAAGAATCAACCATATGTCACTCTTTTAATGCAACATTTCTGTACCCCTGAAAATTTTTCATTCACTTTTTTCACACATACTGTTACTTATAGTTATTGAGCCCCTTTTTAATAATATAATTTGCAAGATGATCAAAAAAAAATCCTGAATAAAATTTAATATACAATATGGTACACATATGGGAAGAACATTCAAAGTATTACAGTACTGTCTGAATTTTTATAAACATTTACAAAAAACAATTATACCCAAACTTATCAATTTACATTGGTTTTGAGATGTTAAAAATAACTGATTACCACCTAGGATAAACATTAATAGGACTAGTTTATATGGTTCTAAACCAAAAATTCCATGAAACAATGCCATAAAAAATTATGCAAGATGTTTAAATATATATACAGCCTCTCCTCACTTAGCGACGTACTCGTTTACCGATGCCTCGGACTTACGATAGGCTCTCTGACCAGTATACGTACCTAGATAATGTATATTAGAGCAGATTTCCTCTATTCTGTTTATTACCCTATACAGTACATTACTGTATAAGCATTTATGAATATACCAGAAATGTTATAGATGGTGCAAAGGTGACATTAAAACAATATCAAAGATGGTTGATACAAACTCACTACCACTATGAGTATGCTCCTCACTTAGCGACAAATTTGTTTACTGATGTGGTCTTAGGAACGGAACTTCATCGTTAAGTATTGAGAGGCTGTATAATAGACATTAATTGAAAAAAAAAATTGTGATAAATAAATGTACACTGAATTTTATTTGTAACCTTTTTGATTCATTAAATACAAATTCATTGTATAACTGTATATACATGACAGGAAGAATATTTAAAAATGGAGAAGATTCAATTAAAACAATATTCAGTATTAAACATATTCTTACTATCAAGGAATACCATAATATTGATAAAATATATTTATTGTTTTATGTGTATGAAAATTAATTGCATAATAAAGTAAAAAAATATATACAAGAGAATAAAATGTCTCTAACCAAGTCATAAGAATATGTCACATGAATGGGTGAATAAGGCAACTGGAGAATAAAAAATCACATTATTGTGGCTGGAACAATTCACCAAAAACCTGCACTTAGCAGAGGAACCTTATGACCATGTTTTGTCTCTCCTGGACTATTGTCCAGGATGGTATGAAATGTCATCAAAAGGTTCTTCTCCTAAGTGCGAGTTTTTCACAGCTACGTACGGTCATACCCTGCTTTACATCATTTCGGCTTCTGTCAAATTTGCCTTTATGCCACATTTCTAGAGTAAATTTCAGTTCAGCAAACGTCATTACGTCTGATGTTATGTCACTCAGCAACATTACCTACATCATAATAATGGGACATGAAATAATAAATTTTTCCCTAAAAATATACTTAAAATAAAATATAAAAATTAACAATAAAAGAAGCTTAAAAATTTTTTTAAATACAATAAAAACACGTTAAAATAAAAAAATGTATGTAGATACAATAAAATATTTACACTGGAAAATTGTAAACAAATGTCCGTCATTATGTAGTTCCGCCATCTTGTTGCGTGGTAGCGTTGCTGCTGGTTCTCATTCAAAACCAGGGAAATGCCACGTGCATTTTTGCCCGTGCTGTAATTGTGTGCTTGTTTTGCCTTTCACTTACTTTTGTGATTACTCCTTTACTGGGTTTGTGTTAGCCATGGGTTCTAAGTGATTCCAAGCATATTGTGGTTACAATGGAAGTTAAATATGATTAAAAGGTATGAAAAAAGTGAAAAAGTGTCTGTTTAAGGTAAATAATATAATTTTACTTATTATTCTTTACAAATTAAGACTAAAATATTCTTTAATGCCTTACCAAGAGCTATATTCTTTCGTGTGTTGTTTATGCTACTTGTAAGGTGTTTTTGTCACACTAAGGGCAAATCACAAGGTATTAACATAATTTTTTAATTGTGTTCATCATTCTTTAAAAAATACGACTAAAATGTGTTTTTAGTGTTCTTTAAGGTTTAGCGATAGTTATATTCTTTCATGAGTTATTTACGCTGATTTTACAGTTGATGTTGTCGTATTAAGGCATTTTTAAAGCATTATGTCTGGTTCACGTCAAAAACTGGGTTATGTCACAGCTTTTGGAACCAATTAATGACTTACGGCGGGGTATGACTGTACTTTTAACTTCAAAAACTTTGGCGTTCAATAGTATAGAGCTGTTTATATACATACAGTACATCTATTAATTACCTCAAGTAAATGTATTGAAAGTTGTGCAAAAGCCTCCCATAACATGGAGCCTTGTAATCAGAGGGTGCCATAATTTTAACTTGTTCAATTAGTTAAGTAATCCACACAGATACAATGTTAGAATATTATAGCCACTCTCTAAGTGCACTGACCTTCATGCAAAGAAATTCCTCCAGTGATTGATAATGAATGTGCTACAGCTGCCAAGATATTGCACAGGTTGACCATAATCCAGTCATTAGACAAAGAATAAAAATATGTACTATATATATCTTTTTTTTCTGTGGCTAAACACCATAAGTGCAACACATCAATGGTGCAAAGCATTTTTACATTATTTGTGATAACATTCTATATATGCTCATTTTTTATTAGCATATCCTTGTAATCTCTTCATTTTTTTAATTTTGCCTTATTTCTTTGACTGAAAATTCTTATATATCACTGTACTAATTTCTATAGTTACATGTGTCATCAGAATTAATTAATTTGTGCAAGGCATAATTTTTCACTTGACTAAATTCACTACATTTGTTCAGTATCATATATATACTTCATTTTTATTCTGCCAAAAAAATAAATAGGAGAAGTAGGTGGTCTACTAGTTCATGTGAGATGACAGTACAGGTCAGCCATCACTAATCCGGCAATCAGTTATCCAGTTCCATCAGTAATCTGGCACTAATTTTGGCTAGCATAATTTCAAATTTCATCATTATACTGACTCAAATTTCATCATTAAACTGACTCAGAAATTGTGCACATGGTTGTAAATCCACAGCAGCAAGCAAGTGGAGGAGAAAGTAGTGATGAAAATGAGGAAGATATAGCAGAAAGTCTCTACTGATAGGTTAATTAAGTGTATTCTAACCTAACCACTCTGTAATCCGGCAAACTCGCTAATCCGGCACACTACAGGTCCCAATGATGCCAAATTAGTGATGGCCAACCTGAACATAACTATTTTCACTTGTGACCTTTGTCTGTCCTATGCTTGAACCCTTACTACTGACTTCCATTAATGATTCTAGGTAGTAACTTAGATTTGAGAGGGCCATCAAGGGACTGACAGACATCAGCATATACAGCTATGGCATGAGAATGAGTGTTCAGGAATGAGTATAAGGTTGTAGTGGGCAGGTGAGTTTTTGGGCACAGAATCTAACCCATGCTCCTCAAAAGGAAGCAAGGAATAGATGTAGAGTGAACACATAGGGGAGGGGGAACTAAAGTATTTATTAAGAACATGAATACATTGAGGAAATACTAAAAATGAATGGGGTCAACAACTAAATTTGTCTTGATAATATCTTGTAAGTGTACTGTCAGTTATGTGGCAGAATCATGTGGGTCATGGAAGTTACAAAACAGTGGAGACAATCTTGCAAAAATGGGGTGTTTACCTGTTTACCAAGCTCTCAATTGAGGAAAATCAAAAAGCTCAAAGACACAAATGTAATCCTTCATGATAAATAAGGCCAAGTTTAGAAAGAGTAGCGGGAAAGGCTGAACAATGTAGCTGGTCACTAGTCTGGTTTAGATAAAAATAGAGCTGAATGTACACAAAGAAGGGTTTGTCTATCAGCCCCCAAGAAAGTTGGACTAAAGTTTTAATTAAATTCAGGCAGCAACAACAATCAGCTTTTAGGGAAGTTATGCAAGTTTCCAGGGAGAGGGCCCAAAACCAAGACATCTTTAGGGACATGGGAACCATACAGGTATAGAACAGTGAGGGTTAATGGGGTGCCGCCTTCTTGTTTGGAAGGGCTACAACAGCTTGTGCCCTGAGCCTTGCTCCTACAAGTATGGTGAATATGTTGCCCAAATGTGAGTGGGTAATGGAGAGGAAACAAGTTTCTTATAAAAAAAAAAATTAGATCAGGTGGATTCCCTTGCCTAAACCTTGGAAGAGCCTGCTACCCACATCTTCCTTCCTGAGTCATCAATGATGGACTTTCCCCATGCACATCAGAGCTCGTGTATGGCACACAAATGAACTGCCCAGCAAGCTGTGTATAATGAGGATAATCATCACATGAAAAAAAAAAAAAAGGAAAAATGTTCACTGGTGCTCAAGGTAGGGGTAGAGTGAGATATCCACACTCTATGAAGGCTAGCTCAGAAATCCAGTTTTTTTAGTGGATTTTCTTCGCCTGCTGTGAGAACTTTACGTAGTCCTACTTGTCTTGTAAATGTTATATGGTTTGTTTTAGCAATAGAAAACTCAAGCAATGAGAGGTAGCCCAGCTGGAAGCACAAGCGATAGCATACTGGAAAGAGGCTCTTACAAGAAGACAGTTTGTGCCTGCACAAGCTACAGCAAAATTGTTTACATATATAGGTGAATGGATATTTCAAGTTAGAATAGAGGCTGGGTCATTAATGATAAGTATGAAGAGCATAGTGCTTAAAACACAGCCTTGAGGTATGCCTTCAGCTTGTACAGAGTCAGGGGAAAAGATGTTATATGCCTGAACACACAAATGTCTCATAAGAAATCTCTAAGGAAAAGTGACAAATTGCCTTAGAGGCCTAAGAGAAAGCATCATAAGCTTTCTCAAAATAAAAAAAAATCTGTAGTAAACTGACTGATATCAACAAAGGCATTGCAGATGTATGTATCAAAGAAGATTAAGGGGCAGTTTGTAGAATGGCCCTTCTGAAAGCCAGACTGGTAACAAAAGAGAGAGTTTTGGGTTTCTTAGTACCATACCAAACATTTTTTAACCAAGTGTTCCAACTAGCAAGAGCGATGAGGATTATAATGAGAAGTGGCTTGGTCTGAAGTACCTGGCTTAGAATAAAGTAGGAAACCTACAATTTTCCAGTGAAGAGAGAGAGAGAACTCTGTGGACGAAAAATTGCAGAAAGAGAACCAAGACTGAGATTCTGTGAGGAATGTTGTGTATTGGGGCAATTTAACAAGACAGAATCGAAGAGCATGAAACAGAGTGTCTACTTTCACCAATACTTTATAAGAGCTAGAAGAGCAGGAAATAAAATAGACATAAGAATATCAGTAGGAGGAGTATTAGTATGAACTGGAGTGCTTAGTGCATCAGTTAGACAAAATGAAAGTTTAATATCCAAAGTATGAGTGTGTTATATGATAGTCAGTTTCCTCTGTAAATAGCAGGTTAATTTTGAATCTGGCAATTTACCTTGAGAACAGAAATGATAAATATCTCCACTTTTCACTACAATTCTTATTTACAATGTTATCCAAATACTACATAAAATCATAATCATTCCATCTTCTGTATAGTACAGTCTCCTTTTACTAATGCTTATATTAAACTTATAATTTATAAGTTTTCACCTCAAGGCCAATGCCTTGATGCTGGTATGGGGGTAAGAAATTGAACCTACCCCTTCCTTTCCTTCGATCTGACTGCCTCCCATTCCATAGACATTGTTTGAACCTATGGATTTAGCACTTCCCAATAATTATATTAATAATAATCTTAAAAGCTTTCATATCATTTTCATATCTCTCACTCAACTGCAGGTATCAACACACTACCACCTCTCTCTCAGACTTTCACTAAGCTGCACTTTTTTTTTTGTTACAGTAATTCCATACCTCATTTTACCAGGATTCATGGAATGTAGTGTCGTGATTACCATGCATTGACCACTAAATCCCTCATGAATTTCTCATAATATTTAATTTACAGGTCTAATTATTGAGTGATAGAAGTAATTTCAGAGTTTTAGTTATACTTTATGTGAAGCACTATACCAGAGGTCAGAGTTAGTCGGCACAAGGATTAACGAGGCTCAATCCTCTACTCAAACTAATTTTACAAGCACTAACTGTAGCCAGTTGAGATCACCTCAACTTGATCTCAGGTATGCTTGAAAGCTCTCATACTCCAACAGAACTTTCAAGCTACATCTACCAATATGGTATTTTTAATTGAAAAAAAAAAATATGCTTCAGTTTTTAAATTACAGTGGAACCCCCGGTTTACGATATTATTTCATTCCAGAAGTATGTTCAGGTGCCAGTACTGACCGAATTTGTTCCCATAAGGAATATTGTGAATTAGATTAGTCCATTTCAGACCCTGAAACATACACATACAAACGCACTTACATAAATACACTTACATAATTGGTCGCATTGGGAGCTGATCGTAAACCGGGGGTCCACTGTATATGCATCAATACAATTCCTCTCACAAATGCTCCATTGCTCCCTCATATTATCCTAACTTATATTACTATCCACAGTACCATGTAGATCACATGACTAGTCTACATGAGCATGAAAAAAATTCAGATAATCTATATAACTTTTTTTATTTTCAGTTATCATTGTTCAAAAGCTCATCTATCACATATTGTACACTGCTGCAATATACAGTATCTCTTGATACATTATTTTCTATCTGCTTTATTTAATGAAAATATCTATACAATATATTTCAAAATGCTAATCATCTATTCCTGTTTTTTTAATCTCATTAGTTTTCTACTCAGTTCCATGCTGGTATGGACAGTCATAAAATTTTAGCTTAACAAAACATAACTGTGTATGCATGTAACCTCATATACACATGTACGCATTCATATTATATATGCACACACACACAAGTAAACAGTAGCAGTAACCATGAAGATATAAACAGTGGAAGAAATCAACTTTCACTTTTTTAAAAACAGTGAAAGTTTTTCTAGTGATAACCCATATTTTCCCTCTTCAGTATTATAAAATGAATTTATTATTACAAAAGATATCATAGCAAATGTACAGTACATATATTTGTTATGTTACAATCTGGGTTACAAAAATCCATAAACACAAAATAATTATCTGACAGCCTAACCCCTACAGTACAGCTCATGTATCAGTACAAAAATGCATTTATCTACTGATTTGTACCTTAAATGCAAGGCAAGAGGAGTTTGGACTTAATTCTAGGGTAATTTTTGTTGCTTAATCACAAACAAAAGAATTCAGTACAACAGATTTGCTTCACTGATGATCAAGCATATTAAGCTGAAAATTGAGATTTCACATGAGACCCCTTGCTCCATTGCATCTATTACCAGAATGAACAACTATGTTCACAGCAGTCATGAAGCAGCTCATGTCATGCATTAAGCCTTTTTTTAGGTCTGGGATACAATAATGCCCAAGTAATTTTTGACACCAAGAGTTTGGACAGCTCTTTTATGTGGTAAGAGAATTTGGTAAAAAGTTAGAATTCTTGCCAGTGATGGATCCACCAGTATCTGGGAACGTAAGACAATCCTCTCTCAATTCCACACGACCCTCCTCAGTTATATTCAGTGGGTAAGTCATCAAGTGAGAGTCATTATGTTCAACCTCTGGGGAGATATATTTTTGCAGGTTTACCTCACCAAGCTCTCTCATTGCTGTCATACAAGATACAGATGCAGGTGACAAATGCTCCTCCATGTGCGAGCCACAGTGTTCTGCCCATATTGACAGTCGGAAAGTTCTAACATCACCTTCAATTTCAGAGTCTCCAAATTCTTCTTTTGTGAATTGCGGCTGGAATGCACCAACAGCCATTTCTGAGTCACGATTGCCACTCATGCTACGTTCATTTATGTTAGCTGATCCTACTATTATATATTCATCATCGAAGACTGCCATTTTGGAATGAACATAAATCATAAAGCGTAAACTATCTCGTGCCTTAGCTGCAACAGAGTCTGGATTTGGTTCTTCAAGACAATCGGGCACTTCATCAGGACTTTCACGCTTACCAAGGCAGAAGAAACTAAGATAGTCTGTTGGGTGTGCACTGATTTTTGCTTTACGAATTGCCTTAGCAATCTTTCTATACATCATTTCCATTGTTCGGTGCTGCCAGTGAAGAATCTCTTGTACAGCTGTTGAAGTGGGATCTCCTTCTGGATGTAGAGGAATAACAATATATGCACGGAAATCCTCACCAGCTTTAATTGCATTGGTTATTCTGGTTGTGATTTCTATTGGAATCAAGTGAGGGCATTTGGCCTCCTGCACAAGCCATCCATGAGCTGAACCAAGAAAATATTGATTTTCTAAATAGATGAAACGTTTAGAACGTCTAATGTGATGAATATATGCTGTCTGGATAGAATTCTCATACAACCTGCCTTTTCGGGACAGAAGACGATCTAATGCATTAGTATCAAACTGTGCCGAATCAGAGTTGATCGAGCGGAAAAACTGAACACTCCAAACAGATTCATCAGGAGTTTCCCAGTCCAAGACAAAATCATCTTCATTAATTCCAAGTAAGCGATTTTCCCGATCAGGAGCTTGACGCCTCCAGCGTTCAATGAAGTTTGAGAGTATATCCATTGCAGCTGGTCCTTCAATATACATGTGAATGTCATGCCATGGCTGACGTGGCCCGGTTGTCACACTGGATTGACATATACCATTATAAAAGTCATTTTGGTGACAATCTGGTAAAGTTTTGAATAGTGGGTGTTCTGGAGTGTCCCACCGCCCATCAGTAATGTCAATGCCACCAGCAAAAGCAACAAGACGACGCCTGTCTTCGCCCTCAACTTCGGCATCCACGATCACACATTTCTGATGATGTGTGTAGAGAGTAGAGACAAAGTTATTTTCCATTATTTTTCCTTTGTTCTTTTGACGTGGGGACAAGAAGACCTCTACTTCAGTGCCTTCAAAGAAAATTCTAGTATCTTCATCATGGGTTCCCATGATACCTGGGGTATATAGATCTGTGCTCATGGCCTCATTCCATACCATCACCAGGACCCTCACACCTTCATCTGCTTTCCTTTTCAAAACTTCTCCAAAGTTTTCATTCTCACCCTCACGTATCAAAGTGATGTCTGTTTTTATACTCCATCCAACTATATAGATGAGCTTCTGGGCATTTTCAATAGCTCTGGAAATATCTATCCACAATTGTGAAGGTTCATAAGGATCACCACTTCTAGTAAGAATATCAGTTAGGGGAGGGACAGCAGGGGTGTGAGCATCTTGGTACAGCTTCACTCTACATCCTACGCGCAATGGGAAAACCGTATCTAGGACTTCATTAGATCGGGTGATAGATGAAGAGGAAAGATAACGAAGAGCAATATTGACTGAACCAGATGGATTACCATCCTTGCCGAGAAGTGGGAACCAACCAGTAACTGGGTCTTCCTGAAGCAAGTCCTCGGCTCTGATGCTCATGAAGCCCATACACTCTATCTTGACCAAGTCTAAGTCTTTGATGGTGAATAACAAAGACTCAGTTTCATGACACATCTCGATACGGAACTTCTCTCCCCAGTGCGGATTTAAGGAGTTAAAAATTATGGATGTCTTAGCAATACGGCAAGTCTTCTTGCCCCCACAGCAAGTATCAACAGTTACGTAAGGGTCTGAAACATCCTTTGAGGAGCGAAACCAAGAAGTGTCAACATCTGGAAGGTCACATGCCTCAATAATTTCCATATACAATACACCATGGAGGAAGACCATCTTGCCTCGCTGAGCTCGCTCACCACTCTTGCTGAAGCCTGAAAAAATAAAGGTAATCAATGTACTGTACTGTACAGTCATGCTCTACAGTTAATAATTTGCTTATCAAATGAAAAAAAGTCTGTTAACCCATGAAAAAAAAAATTAAAGCTGAATTAATATTGATCATGTATACTACCCTGATCAGCAATGGACATAGTAAAAGGGTACACAGTGAACTAAAAACTATATAAATAGTAATAATATAAAATCCAGTATATTCATGCCTTTAGTCAAATGTTTTGGACTCCTGGGTATTTAAATGCAAAGCCTACAATCTCTCATAATCTGCAAAACAAATATTATGAACACTATATTAAGTAAAACCAAAATAATTATAAAAACACTGAATCATGAGCCGGGTCACCATATGGAGAAGACCCGGGCCGGAAGTACCGGCGAACCTCTAATGAATGAATGAACACTGAATCAGGCTGAAACAGAACTTATTAGATAACACAGTACATTGGAGGTTGGTATTACATTTTTTTCAGGAGAAATGGAAAAATTTCTCCTGATACTGGTTTCAAGTCAAATGATGAGCCATTCAATGGAGCTTTAGGTCACTGACTGTAACTTTCTGCTGGCTTTCTGAGCCACTCTTTAAATTTAAAGATCACATCAAGATATTTTTTTCTATGAAATGTACATGGATAATTTTATTTGAAAATGTTGCAAGAAAAGAATTAAAAATAATATGATTTTTATAATGTTGCAGCTGAAGTACAAGTATTTCAAGCTTCAATGTTATAACTGAAGTACAAGTATACCAAGCTTCAATGTTGCAGATGACATACAAGTTTACCAAGCTTCAATGCTGCATGCAAACAAAGTACAAATATACCAAGCTTCAATGTTGTAGACGAAGTACAAGTATACCAAGCTTCAATATATGTACATGAAACACTAAAACAGGCACAGCAGAATTAAGTATTTTTGAGAGGCTGGCATTTTAAGGATTGCCACATGCAGATTGTTTAAAAACTTCTCCTTAGACCCATTACATATACTGCATACAGTACGTCATTTTCAGTGCATTATCTAAAATGCATGCTTAGGAATCCAGCACATTTCCTTTTTTATGCAAGAAACTAATATATTTGCCAGTTTTTTTAATAAATGACATATAGAAATATTAATTTTTATGGAAATCTACACAGCGTGTCAATTTTTGTAGTTTATTGGTAAATAATTTTTAATATACATGGGAGTACATGGAAAAAGACAGATAGCAGAAAACTTTGAAAAGTCCACACCAAGGTTATGTGCTGAGAAATATGTACCTCTGTCTAAATTAAGGACTGTCTTATATTATTGTGTCTAGATGTTTGAAGCAAGGTTAATAAAGTCAGCATGAAACAAAGACCCCAATGGAAATAGTCACTGACTTTTTGGGGTTATTTTAGGTAACCTACATATATGCTATTATGTATGATGACTTGTGTAACTGTATTTATGTGCCTGAATAAACTAAATTACTTAACAGGGTTAAAAATATACCATGCCATATTAAAGAAAAAAATATATGAAATTTACAGAGATGTAAATGGATGGAAGTCAGGAGCTACAACTATTGTTTATTAGTATTTTCTAACTGTAACTACTCATGTTACTGCAATGGCATTCACAGAACTGTGTCTGTATATCAGTGGTTCTATTTTTAATTACCAACAGTTCTATTTCTAGATACTTTGATGCAGGTGGAGACTCACCTCTTCACAGAAGAGGTGTGATTTTTATATCGATGCACCACGCACCATGCACTAGCTTTTGAGGCATATGTGGCCGAGTGGTCTGAAGCGTCACTTAGGAACCTTTCCAGCCTCCCCTCAATCTTTCTCTGTATATACCTGCTTGTTTCTGTGTGGTGCATTGATATAAAAATCACTTGTGAGGTCAAAACATACAGGAGGAGAATGAAATAGCTTCAAACTATGCTTAAGGCCCACTAGTGTGCCCAAGCTGGGTAAACACATGGCTTGTAAACAAGGCTGCCCAATTTTTGAGGCATCTGTGGCCAAGTGGTCTAGAGCATCACTTGGGAAACCTTGCCAGCCTTCCCTGACATGGCTTCAAATCCTGCAATCTTTCTCTGTATGTGCCCACTTATTTCTGCATAGTGCATGGATACATATAAATTATACATACATATATAAGAGGTGGTTGGAATTATTATTATTATAATCAAAAAGAAGCACTAAGCCACAAGGACTATACAGCGCTGCAGGGCAGGAAGGAAGCGAGGGCATCAGGTGGCAAAAGGAAGATGGATGAGTAATAGGTTACGGATAACAGCGGGGTAGTGGATGGTGAAAGGGTAAAGGGCAGCAAGAGACTGAACTAGAAAGGGCTGAGGGGAGTGCGAAAGGTATCATCAGAGTTTGTGGAGTAAATCAGTCGTTGTCAAGAAGTCAATGAGAGAGTCAGGATTAAAGGAGGGTCCATCAGCAAGAAGGGAAGGTAAAGAGAGAGTAGTAGAACGAAGACGACATTGGAGGTAAATTCTGCGTGCTCGTTGATAGAGAGGGCAGTCTAACAGAATGTGGCTAATCGATACTGGAACTTGACACTGCTCACAGAGAGGAACAGGGTGCCTCTCCATGAGATACACATGAGTAAGACGAGTGTGGCCAATGCGAAGGCGGGAGAGAGTGGTCTCCCAACCTCGGCACTGATGACAAGAAGACGGCCAGTAACCTATGCTCGGTTTAATAGAATGAAGTTTGTTACCGAGCAGAGTTGACCAACGTTGTTGCCAACGGGTGCGAAGGTGGGTAGCTATTGCAGCAAAATAGTCCAGAAATGGAACACCTCGATAGGAAATTGGTAGGTCATGTACTGCTGACTGCGCAGCAGTGTCTGCCTGTTCATTGCCCTGTACGTCGACATGACCAGGGACCCAACAAAAAACAATATCTTTTTGTTTGGTAGAGATACGGCGTAGCCAAAGTTGGATACGGAGAACGAGGGGATGAGATGTATCAAATTTTCGTATAGCCTGCAGAGCACTAAGGGAGTCTGAGACTACTACAAATGATGAAAGTTAAGACACATGTGCAACATCTGGATATCTTTATTGTAGTAGACGTTTCGCCATCCAGTGGCTTTATCAATACAGATTCTAGGACATAATAGGAAGACAGTAGAACTATATACAAAAGATGAGGTAATCAGTCCCTCGGCCTTGGAGTTAGTGTTCACAGCATCGTGGTGGAGGAGAGTCTGGAGCAAAGGCAAGAAGACTGGCGCTTTTTATAGGCGTCAGTGAATGGGACGGGCAGCAGACGAGGTCAGTCACTGGTAGGCGGGATTCCCCAGTGGAAGTAGGTCCCTTTCCCAAAGAGATGGGTTAGTTGCAGCAGCCGTTGAAGAAGGTCTTGTAGATGTCCTCTGAACCAAGATTCCATGATGTTGCAGTGTCTGACAAGTTGTGCAAAGAAAGGTATAAAATACCGACGATATGAAGTTAAGACACATGTGCAACATCTGGATATCTTTATTGTAGTAGACGTTTCGCCATCCAGTGGCTTTATCAATACAGATTCTAGGACATAATAGGAAGACAGTAGAACTATATACAAAAGATGAGGTAATCAGTCCCTCGGCCTCGTGGTGGAGGAGAGTCTGGAGCAAAGGCAAGAAGACTGGCGCTTTTTATAGGCGTCAGTGAATGGGACGGGCAGCAGACGAGGTCAGTCACTGGTAGGCGGGATTCCCCAGTGGAAGTAGGTCCTTCCCAAAGAGATGGGTTAGTTGCAGCACCCGTGAAAAAGGTCTTGTAGATGTCCTTGAACCAAGTTTCCCATGATTTTGCGTGTTGAAAAGTTGTGCAAAAAAAGGGTATAAAATACCGAAAATTTTGAAGAAGACACATGGCAACATCTGGATATCTTTTTTGTGTAGACGTTTCCCCATCCATGGCTTTATCAATAAGATTCTAGGACAAAATGGGAAGACAGTAGAACTATAAAAAAAGATGGGTATCGCCCCTGGGCCCTTGGAGTTAGGTTCACAGTGTGGGGAGGAGGTCTGGAGAAAAAAGGCAAAAGGGACTGGCGCTTTTTATGGGCGTCAGTGAATGGACGGGCAGCAGACGAGGTCTTCACTGGTAGGGGGGGGGCCCCCCAGTGGAAGTGGCCCTTTCCCCAAAGAATGGGTTAGTTCTATGTTTTCCTATTTGTCCTAGAATCTGTATTGAAAAAGCCATGGTGGCGAAAGTCTACTAAATAAAGATATCCAGTGTTGCACATGTTTTTTAAACTTTATATTGGGGTATTTTATACCTTTCTTTGCAAATTTGTCAGAAGCAAACATGGAATTTTGGGTTAGAGGAATCTAAAAGACCTTCTTCACGGTGCTGCAAAACCATCTTTTGGGGAAAGGGCCCTACTTCCACTGGGGAATCCCGCCTCCCAGTGATGCCCTGTTGTCCCCGTCCTTCAGCCCCTAAAAAAAGCCCCCGTCTTCGGGCTTTGCCCCAGATCTCCTCCCCCACGATGCTGTGAACATAACCCCAAAAGGCCGAGGGATGTTTTCCTCATTTTTGTATATAGTTCTATTTCTTCCTATTTGCCCTAGAATCTGTTTTGATAAAGCCACTGGATGGCAAAAATTTTCTACAATAAAGTATCCAGATGTTGCAATTGTTTTAACTTTCATATTGTCGGTTTTTATACCTTTTTTTGACAACTAAAAAATGTGACACGGGATGATGGATCAAATAAGTGCTGAAGAATGGCAAAATTTAGGGCCATAAAAAAGGGGGAAATTTAAAAGAAAGAACCCAAACCCCAAAAAACCATTTTTTTAACCCCCTTTGGCTATCGTAGGAATTGACCCCACAGAGGGGCGGGTGCCTCCCCATGAGAACCCCGGTGGGGAGTTTTCCCCAATGCAAAGGGGAGAAGTGGTTCCCAACCCCCACTATAAAGAAGAGGCGTAAAACCTATGGGGTTTTTAAAAAAAATAATTTTTCCAAAAGGGTTGACCAACGTTTGCA